TTTGTTTGTTGGTTGAACACTGCTCTTGACTTGTTCGTCCTTATTTTTATGTCTGCTTCTGTCCCACCCTGCTTATCAACAATACTTCCAAAGTAGGTGAATCTATCCAAAACCAACAATGTTGCCATCGTTTCTACATGACTGGGCCTAAACATCCACAGAGGGAAAAGTAAAGTTCTCAAAGTCAATGCTTCAAACAGCAAACCTATAACATAGGATGTATAGTTACTTATATAAAATGAAAACGTATACACTGCCTACGATTGTTTGGTTTGTATGACCTTGTTACTATGTGAGATGAGAACAGAATCGAAGAACAACTTGAAGGACAACGTACAACTCAAAAAATGACGACTTCGATTAATTTCATCTCATATTTTGCTGTCTATATATATTAAGGATACGGGAGACCACATTGATAATTCAAACGAAGACGAATACATCCACACACTAACACCACAAGACGAACACATCACACCCTTAAACGACATGACCAAGACTGATCTAACTCCTTCCGTTTAAAAAAAAAAAGTCATACTCTTCCACGTCACATCCATACTTGCCTTGTCACATTCAACAACTTTTAAAACATTCCACAACAAACATACACTCATATCCATTCAGTAAACTAAAATGCCATTCACAACAGACTTGTATATAGTATTTCTTTTATATGATGTCTGATCTCCATAGGCAAATAGTATTCTCACATGACTATAAAGTAAATTACCCTTTCAATCCATGGTGCAGATGAAGTGTAATTCAACTATTTCAGTGACCTCGGTGTAAGAAGAAATAGTGCGGTGGGGAATGATCCAAGCAACATTTACATTAGAGCTGGATGGACTCAAGGAAATCTAAAAGACTCGTAAAGGGAGACTTTCAGATTAACTCTACTAATATACATTTACTGTACAAGACCATAGATGGACCAAAGACGAAATTATTCTGACGGCCTTTTCCATTTTTCATTTCTTTTTGGTTACTCATATTAACCATGAAAATGTATTATTTTAATTTTAGTTTGATTAAAAACCAAATAAAATAAAATAATGGAGAATCGTTGGCTTGAATATTTTCTTTTTTTTCAGTCTCCATTATCATTATCTGTTTCTTCTGACAATTATTTTATTTAGAGTTCTTAATTGCAGTCTCCGTATTGTTCTGTTAATCTCTCGTTCGATGTGCTTTTTGCAGCTGCTTCTTGTATTGATAATTAAATATATTATAAACAATACTTTTTTTCAAAAACGTTTTTTTGTGTTTTTAAGTAATTTACAAACACACAAACACCCCAATATAAATTTTTATTTTTCTAATATAAACAAAAGCATAGTTAACTAATTATTTGACTAAGTATGTTATAAGAGTTGTAAAATAACAAATACATAGGTTATACTTTAGAAACTAATTCTAATGTAGTATACCAGAGCCAATACAATCAGTGGCGTAAGCAGGGGGGATTAGGGGGTTACGACCCCCCCCCCTGGACCCCTCTGTAAAAACATTGTTACTGTCATAATACTACTGTTACTTATTTAAATCTATTTCTAAATCAGTGTATATGTATAATTGCATATGTATGTTTAGAACAGTCATCTAAATCTTACTCTGAGTTGGTCCCACCCCCACCTCACCATCTAAAAGGCGACAGGCTGTAATTAATGTCATATTATAAGTATATACGATAATGTAAAAGTGTGTTCTATGAATTACAAAACAGTATTTACTACAATTCTATCTTCCTACAAAAGACAACGACGGTATAACAAGTTTCAATGCGTTTCAATGTGATAATGCATAATATAACACAAACGTCAAACTGAAAATACTATTTTGTACTTTCTCGTATACGAAGTAAAGAGAAAGTATTGTAATCGTGCAAACAAATCGAGATTTTTGCAAATCACGCTTGTTTTACACCTCCATGAGTCGGAAAAAAACATAGTTTTGCTATCTTGTCGCTATGTCTGTGTGTGTGTATGTGTGTGTTTGTAAACATGATAACTTGCGTACCGTTAAAGTTAGGTTGATGAAATTTCATATATAAGTATGAATACATGCAGTTGAGTGATTTCCAATAACCTGAAGTGGAATATTTTCTACTTTCAATTTTTTAAAAGCCTATAACTTGAGTACTATTTCAGATAGATTAATGAAATTTCACACATAGATAAAAGATCTAATTTTCCGCCATTTATTAAATTTTGATTACTTTCCGTTGAACGGAAGTAGTAATTTACGCTATTTCCGATTCCTCAAAAAACGCATTTGAATGTGTAAAATACTAATAATATTCCGCACTATTATACACATTTTGCTTGGCGTTTGCTTGGTGCGCAATTCTTTGTTCTACGCGTTTCTTATTTTTTTAAGTTTAAGTAATTAAAAATGTAATAACAATAATGTCTATATCCAGAGGTGCCGTCCCCCGTAGTGTTAAATAAGAATGTTCGAGAAAATTTAATGGAGATCATTCCCGGTTTATTTATATTAAGCGCTGCCAATTGTCTTCTTATCTTGTCAACTACGTCAATCTGCTTTCGCCGTGTCATACTTACTCTATACAAAATGTATAAGAAAAACAAATATAAATATTAAATACTCTTTAACTCATACGTACTGTCGTTCGTAGTTATTACTTAAACCTAAAATGTCCTCAAATAACTGTTTTTATCAAAATCTACGTTTAGTCCAATAGAGTCAAACATATGTAAATAAATCTACTCCATCATATATAGTAACATGTTAGAGGTCATTCAAACTCTTTAAAAAGAATTAAAAATAATAAATAATAGATGTTATTTTCATAATAAAACTTTCAATAATGAAATATTTGTTCAAGATAATTAAAAATAAATATAAATATAAAAACAGTTTAAGCATAATATAATTTATGCAAGTAAATTGTATAAAACGTGCCAAATTATATGAATATTAAGCTAGATTGTTATTATTATAAATTTAAATATGTGCTTAAAAATAAATTACTCATCACATCACCTACTTACATCACAGTCATAATGAACTTATTTCTAAATCATAAAATAATATTTATCTAAACATAGTTGTAAAATAAAACAATAATATAATTATGCGATATAGAATAGAGATTTAAGGATAGCTTCTTAGACCTTAAGTTTGCTCTTAGACTCAGTCTTTCTAAACACAACCTCAGAGTAGATGAATTGATTGTTGTTTTTTTTTTAAATTAATATCGTAATCATTTTACACAATAGCTTTAAAAACTAGAAACACAATTTTCCCTAAAAATGTTAAGATAATTTTCATTTATTAAGTTTGGGAGCCGTATAGTATATTGCATTTCTACAACACAGTGTAGGTCATTGATCTAAAGTTATCCTCTCATGTAGTGATGAGAAAGAATTGTGTTTAAGATCTGCTTAATTTTGCTATTTGTAGTTGTTAGCCCAGTTTGAATGACGTATTTAAAGATTGATCCAAATCTTGGAAGGTGATCCAAGTCTGTTAGGTGCAGGCATGAATGTTGTTGGTTATTTTTACACAATGGTGATTTAACAAAAACAATAATGAACGATACATCTTCGTTATATGTCAATCTGACATATCATTTCAGGACCGCAGTGAAAAAGTCACATTGTTTTGTTTTTTATTTTTAAAATTATCTTTCTAGTCGTTAAGAATAAAATTCTGAGCTTATTGTAAATGGTAATTGGTGACATAATTTTTTGTGTGTATAATAAAACTGTAACTGTAAAACAATTAGTTAAGTTAAGCAAAATTAATTTATGTGCTAAACAAATTGTAGCAACTTGGAAGTCATAAAACCTCAATATATCGAATTCAAGACAAGTGTTGACATTACTTCTTCAGTTGCTGAATATGATTATATATAAACATATATATATATATATATATATATATATATATATATATATATATATATATATATATATATATATATATTCAAATCATTATAAAGATATTTAGGCCCTTGAATAAGAGTAGATGAAACAGAAATTTTGATTGTGTTTTTAATAACACATTAGATAAGGACGGTAACAGATTCAATTAGTTAGTTCCGTTGCAATGCAATACATTTTGAAAAAAGTTTTGGCAGTGTGTTTTTCTTTTTGCTTTAATTTTATGAACGAGTAGAATATTTAAATAATTCTAAATGGTAAAAATATAATTTCAGACATAATTGTCACTTTGGTTCTGTGCCCCACAGATGGCTTTTGCATAACTATTAAAGACAAATTTCTTATTTTTTTTAAAATCAGTTATAAAACTGTATATTAAATGTAAGTAGGCATTTTTTAAAAATTGTGCTTCTTATAAGAAAACATTACATGTAGGCCTACAAGTTAGCCACATCCACTTAATTTAAACTTAGAAAAAGTCGACAATTTTCAATTGAAAAAAATACAAGTTAGCTTTGAGGTTTTGAATGTGTTTTCTTTAAACATTTCTTTAAACATTAAAAACAAAAGTATTTCAAAAATTACAAACCTTAGCAATATAATAAACTTTAACTTCCTTATTTTTTATTCCCTAAAATATGCATGTATTTTAAGCCACTGGTAATGCAGGAAAGTGTATTGTAACATTATGAAAGTTTGCACCCGGGAAGCTGAGATTAATATGCTAACAAACTCTTTTTAAAATAAAAAAAAACACTTATAGGTCTATTACAACACAATTCCGGCTGTCCATCGGACTGATGTACCGCAGCACGACTGGATTTTTTCAGGTGTCTCTACGACTGAGTCCCCCCATGCCGTAAAAGCTTTCGAATAAGACAATTAAAGGTTAATAATTTAAGATATCAGATGCTTGCTTTTTAACAATTATATATATATATATATATATATATATATATATATATATATATATATATATATATATATATATATAATGTTAACCTAGTAAAATAGTATTATATTTAACATTACAGTTATTTTTTTTCTATTATCTTAAATTTAAATGTGTTAAATATATCATATACTTACATAGCATTAATCTTCTTCACTACTGCTACTGCCCATGTCTATTCCTTTAGTATGAAGTTTATCTGCCCATGATATGTTTTCAGCTTTTGTCATCCTGATTACTAGCTTATCTTTCTCTACCTGGAATCATTTTTGTTAATGGTATCTCTGGCTTGTTTGAATAAAAATATAAACTTGAAGAGAAAAACAGTGAGCAAAATCTATGCACATTCATATTTTTTTTACATTTATACACAAAACGACAATACGAAAAGTTATTTGTTTTTACCTTGTTTATGAAAGAAATAATCTTAAACTTATTTTTTAAAATTTAAGCCACACTATTTTGATGCAAAATTAAAATAAGTAAACATCAATTAAACATCAATTTCGTAAAGCAATATTTCAAGCAGTTAGAGGAAATTAAAAAAATTGAAATTGAAATCTCATACATGCCATGTGGAGTATGCCCCGACGATTTTCCCGGGCATTTTTTTGACCAACATTGAAACCGTTCTGTCATCTAATTCGATCTTTACTTCAAATCCTTGGTAACTGAGTTTATAAAATTATGAAAGACTTATTTTAAAATATTTCAACTTAGACATATTCATTAATTCACTCTTTCCCACATTACTAGTTTTGACCGAATTTACTCGCTAAATTAAGGGGTTACCCAACTTAAAATCAGAAAAAAACATCAAGAACGATGTTATATTTTACCCGTAATCCCGTCCCGCGCTGGAGTGATGCAATATTTAAGGAAATTGCATGTATGTCTTTTAAGTTTTTGACTCGTTTTTTTTTCTAAAACTGAGCTATTTAATTGTAAAGAAAGAAGTCGCAATATTTGTTTGATCTTAGTTGTTTATGAAGCTTATGTGTCCAAGCTACCTCCCAGACGCCCCATTGCGTGCTGTGTGAAAGTCTTGAGTCACTCTCCGTAATACGGCGACAGCCCATGCGTCGAGTGCGTCGCGGGGCATTTGTGGAGCCACCGTTTACACTACGGCCACTGGTTTGGTTTAATCATTAAACGGCATGTGCCGCCGTGTCCCTATCGTATTGAGCTGTTTAAAACAAAGGTAGTCGAACTACTGCTTGCTGAAGATCGCGGTACGCGAATTGAACTCTGCTGGGGTGCCGCCGTATTAAAAAATGTTTTTTTCGCAGAAACCTCACAACGAGTATTCTCAACAACTTCTAAAAGGCTGAGTAATGCATATAGACGAACACACAGATAAACAGACATACTTTCATTTTAAAAATAATAGATAGGTTGCTAATTACTATTTTTAGAAATGTAATGTTTCTGACGGAAATCAACATTTAATCTTTAAGCCAATATATTACTAATCAAATTTTTTTTTTAACTGTAGACCCTCTCTGGGACCGTTTTGAGCCCTAACCTTTCAAAGAGTGATCTTTATAATTCTTCAAATTTTAGAGGGGATCGAGTGAAAGGTGTAGTAATGCATAAAGAGTACACACATATACACACATACTTTTACTAATATATATATATATATATATATATATATATATATATATATATATATATATATATATATATATATATATATATATATATATATATATATATATATATATATATATATATATATATATATATATATATATATATATGGGTCTAGGACAAATTCCCGAAAGACATTTGCCGGAATGCCGTTTGCCCGAAGGTCGATTTTCCGAATGGACACTTGCCTGAATGCGACAAATGCCCGAATAGACACTTGTCCGGCTCCCATATATATATAGGCAATACACAAATATGGGCATGGGTAATTAATAAAAAGGTTAGGTTTTTTTTTCATGTTAGCTTTGAAAGGTCTGATCTTGTGTGCTTGGTTACAGATAAAAGTAAATGGGTTTTTAAAATGCAAAAGTGAGATATCTTACTTTCTTAACTCCGTTGCACCTTGTCATACACAAAAAGATGTCGTTATGGATGGTCCGTTATCCAGTAAATACATTTAACCTTATAATATGTAATGCAGCAAAAACTATTTGTAATGAATCACAAATACATTGTAGTAGCAAAGTATTGTCATTATCTAGGTTGCTTTTCAGGTGGTAGGAAGGCGTACATTAAATACAGATTACATCGAATGGAGTTTAAAATGGTCTGTTCACATTTAACTACAAGGATTAGGATCATGTGTAAAATTGTGAGTGACATAATTATTTTTTACTTAAGGGGTTCAAATGTAAATATTTAAGTGTTAATAAAGAACAAACCCGTTGACCCAATCCAAATATACGTCTCCATTTTTCGAATGTTTGGCATCTTTTCCTGGTTTTAAACCATTAGCAAATATTTCAACTTGTACAGTCCCATCATTCAGCTCTAATATTAAACCTAGAACAAAAAAATTGTTTTAATTTACCATATCTACAAATTAGTAAATCTTGGATTGTAGATTATGATATAATTTAATATGGCATTTTACCGCTAATGCATAGGTGAAAACCACCACATAAAAAGGTAAGGGTTAAGAAAAGAACAATTGGGCACAGAACCGTCTCGAGGGGGGGGGGTTGTTCGGACCACACCGGTGACATCATTTAGGTGGGTGACACCAAGGCAAAAATAGCAATATATATATATATATATATATATATATATATATATATATATATATATATATATATATATATATATATATATATATATATATATATATATATATATATATATATATATTAACTGTGCCCCGGGTGGGGGCAAGGGTCAACTAAACATTGCACATTTTTCCTGAGGAAAATGTTTTCTTGAGAATTGTAATAACTGGCAAATCAAGCCGAGCCTGGGGTGGGGGATGGGTGACGACAAGTGTAATAATTTACTACAAATACAATGATTTTACCACTTGAATTGATTTCTTATAGAGTTAGGCCCGTAAATGCTTTTTCTAAGTGTATTAATATAATGTTTGCACAAATTGACGACTTTCGATAAAATGTTTGTGGGGTGGGGGAAGACACTAAATACACAGACTATCAAAAAGAATTGGGGTGACACCACAATGGAAATTTTCAAATGTAAATATCATTCGATTAAGCAAATTTTTAAACAACAGCCTACATGTGTGTGTATGTAAGTGTGTGTAGGTGTGTGGAGGATGGTGACTAACACCAGTAGAACAATAGTTGTACATTTGATTGTGCTTAAGTAGTTAATTTGTTATCTATGATGTGTGATATGTTTAATGGGTTATTTTTCTAATCCTGTTAAAATTTCTGTGATATGTGGCTAAAATAAATGTATTAATCCATTGTAAATAAATTGAGTTAAAAAATGTGAGAGACGAAAATGACTAATGAAAGCCATAAGAAATAAAAAGCGAGAGCATCAGATAAGGAAAACTGGTTGGCTTGCCACATTAACACATGTTGACTATTTTCGTCAGCTTAAAATTTTAAAACGATAATTCACGCCTTTAAGCAGTTTGATTATTAAATGTTGTAGATTTTGCAATGGAATATGTTAAATTATAATAATTTGTTAACAAATTTAGTATACCCATACGAGGTAAATAGGTTTTAGTGGATTTTAGCCTTGTAAAAAAGTATTTGGTCGCTACGTTACTCATTTCCTATGAATAAAAGAAGAAACTTATTTTAATTTAGTTTTAAATATGAAACGAAAGGTGCACCGTTGAAACGGCCTGTGACAAATCGGCCCGCGACAAAACGACCAAGTAAAAAAAACCCGTCGAATTAACAAACTGGCGCCAGACATATAAATCATATGACTAGTTTTAGATGCCTGAATGAAAATCGTCTTTATAAACCAACAACAGTTCAGAAAAAAATTGACTCTTAACTGCAAAGTGCGACTAATTTTCATAAGCTTTTATTTAGTTCGCAACTTCTGTTTGTGTGTTTGTTTGTTTGTTTGTGGCAAATTTTTTAACTCAATTTTGTCCCACTTCTAATGCAGTAATTTCGTTCAAGCTCTCGAAATACTTTCTACTTTGATGATAATACAAGTCTATTTATTTTTTTAAATTTAAATTAGATATTTACATAATCATTTAAAACTAATTAAAATTAAAACTATGGGGAAATAATAAAATTAACGCAATCGATAGATTTATATCTTCAATAACAAAAGGGGAGTTAGCTTTCTAGACGCAATCACCCTAAAAGTCTGGTTAGCTGTTGTTGACAAGAATGTTTACAATCGTACAGATGTTCGATCTAATGAAGGCTAATAGTGACAGATAATAACGTATTTAGACTATTTTAAACATCTTGGCGTTAACAAGATTAAGGATCTGTAAAATATGGTCACGATGGCTGTTTCAAGGGGCATATAAACGTCTTTCACTTATCAAGAGCTATTAATATTTGTATTCTTGTCGACTTCATAAATAAGTAATCACTAAAAAGGAAAAAAAACAAATTTAAACTTCCTCTATGGGGAGAAGCTTTTAAATGCACAGACAATAAGAAAATAAAACGAGATTTCTTTCATAAAAGCTTTGGTCGCTCAGTTGATCTTTTTACTAGCTTTTATTTAATTCATTATCTTTCTGTCTATCTGTCGTCATTCTGTCTAGATCGAAATGCCCGAGCGAAAATTCGGACATTAAGACAATGCAATATGACATTATATTGATTTAACTGGATGTTTAATTACTTTTTTTATTAATTAATTACAATTTTATCCAAATCAGTAGTCTGTCTCATCCAACTATTCCGTATTATACACGTGTCATCACGTTCATTGGTTGCGCCATGGCTTTTAGTCATGCAACTCTATTGAAAAAAATATACCGGGAGTGATCTCCCCTAAACTCTCTCGAATATTCTTATATAACACTACGGGGGATGTCAACGTGGGATATAGAAAAGTTTTTTTAATCAATTTTTAATTACTTGAACTTTTTTAAATAGAATCTAGTAGACAAAAGAATTACGCATCAAGTGAACGCCAAACAATGTGTGTATAATAGTGCTGAATATTATTAGCACTTATAAATTCATTTTCTTTTTTTAAGAAATCGGAACTAGCTTAAATTACTATTTCTGTTCAACAAAAATTACTCAAAATTGGCCAGAAGGCAAAAAATTAGATCTTTAACATATATATGTGAAATTTCGTTTATCTATCTGAAACATTACTCAAGTTATAGGTTTAAAAAATAAAAATAAAAGTAGAATAAGTCCCATTTCTGGTTATCGGTAATTATTTAGAAGTTGATACAGAACTGCAAATTTGATGTAATACTTATATATGAAATTTCATCAACCTAGCTGTAACGGTACTCAAGTTATCTTGTTTACACACACACATGCACACACACGGACAGAATTGCAAAACCCAGTTTTTCTGGATTTAGAATTTTAGCCCGATTAAAATACTTCGTATATGTTGACATACTGAGGTGTAAAACGGTGAAAACTGTCAAAATTTCACGTGATTTGTGTGCACGATTGCATTATTTCCTATATACTCTGTATACGAGAAAATGAAAAAAATTAAAGCACTGAAAAAGAAATTCTTAAAACACATTTTAATAACAAGCTTTTATGTAACAACGCACTAAAAAGTAGAAAACAAATTATACACTTCAATTTAAATAGCTGTAAAGAAAAGCGTGGGTTTCTTCCTAAATATTAGTAAAGGTATCAAATAGATACTAAAGTGACCCACGCTTTTCCTTATAATATTTAAATAGTAGTGTATAATTTATATTCTACTTTTTAGTGCATTATTATATAAAAGCTTGTTATTAAAACGATTTTTGTGAATTTGTTTTTACATATTTTAGCGACCAAAGCTTTGATGAAAGACAGCTTAGTTTTGTTTTTTTATTGTCTGTGCGTTTAAAAGCTTGTTGCTATATATAGTTTTTTATATTTGGTTTTTAATGCTGTTTTATTAAACTCTGTGAAGAGCTGAGGCTTTAAACCGAGAACAGGAGTTTAAATGTACAATATACCTGATGTTTAAAGGATAAACGAATTTTTGTTTAGATTAACTTTAACGGTGACAGGACCAATCATCTCGGGATAAATTATATCATACAAGAGATCTTGTAACACACTGTACTTTGGTAATTTTTATCCATATTATATTAAGCATGAATTCGTATGGAAGTAGAATACCTGACCAACGAAAGGACTATATGAGACTAAATATGTTTTTCCATGCTTTTTGTTGTATCGCTCACTGACCAATGGGCAGAGAATGAAGAGTATAAAAGGGGAGTTTAAGATGGACAAATATGCGTACTTGCATAGAAGAAAGTAAGCCGTCACCATGTCACTCTGTTCGTAAATTGGTGTTTATTATTATTATTCTACTATGGGACCTTGTTGAATCTCTTAAACTCCAAAATGCTTAAATATATATATATATATATATATATATATATATATATATATATATATATATATATATATATATATATATATATATATATATATATATATAATAAACTTATAACGTTCATCAAGAAGTGTACTTTTAAGTGAATATTACGAATCCACAATAACAATAATATCGACCACTCACGTATTGTTACAGATCTCAGCAAAATATGTAAAGTGTTTGGAATGATTATAGTTTATGTTGACATTTTGAAAAAAAGAAGGATCATTTTTTAAAAACGTTTTTTTACACATAATGATTGTGCGGTAAAGATGTGTTGCAAAAGTGTGTGACACGATATAAATTACTAGCTGCATCCCGTGCTCCACCACGGTAAATCTTTTTTAAATGTACCAACGTGGGAACAGAACAAAACTAAACACAACACAAACGAACGCAAAAAAATAAACGAAAAAACAAACATAACACTCATAACATAAACACAATTTAAATGCAATCATAAAAGCATATTGCTCACAGTCTAGCCCATAGCGCCAAATCGCGCCCTTTCCGAGCGCCGCCGGACGCGTCTGACACAGTGAATGACTATAAAACAGAGGCGTAGCGACCCTTTCCTGCGCCCGGGGAAAAACTTTCGATTCGACTCCCCCCCCCCCCTCAAACTTACGATTTGCACCCCCTCTCCTCAAAATTTCAATTTTCACCCCACCCCCTTAAACTTTCGATTTGAAATTCCCCCCGCTCAAATTGTTGATTTGCACCACCCTCAAACTTTCGATTTGCACCCTCCCACCTCCCTCAAACTTTCGATTTGCACCCCCTCCCTCCCCCGCAAATTTTTTCCAACCCACTTTGGCGCCCCCTTAGGTCGGCAACCGGGTATATGTTCTCTACACCTGTCCTATAAAACCCCCAGCAGTATTTAAAATATCCGTGTTTTATCTACCATATTATATCACTTTATCAATTCACGCATTTTTTCCCCAGTACTTTAAATTTTAAAAATTTACAATAGAGTTTCATAACTAAAACCATTGCGCACCCAATAAACGTGATGACGCGTCTATAGTAGTGCTTAATAGTTGATTAAAAATTATAAGTAGTAAACATTACATTCAGTGAATAAAATAATTAAAAGATAGCCTTTTATCAATCAATGCTAATTATAATATTTTAACAATAATGTACTCTTACACGTCTGCATAATTTGCATTCACATTTTGCTAATTATATTATTCCAACAATTATTCCGTCTTGCAGATACTGCATTCACATTTTTAGCGTGAGTTCAGTTTATTTTTAAAATACCTCCCTTGGCAAAATTACTAAACAGTTTAATTAGATTTTTCTAACCTACATTTATTATGTTATTAAAATGTATTCACTTTTTCTAGGAATATTAACGAAAACGATATTTGACATTGATCCTTTTAATATGTTTTAGCAATGTGCGTGTATTTAATATTCACTTGACATTATGCAAAATTGTACAAACAGTGGAAATTATAAAATAGCTCTATGTCGGTAAATAAACAAACCCTACTCTAATACTTAAAATAAGACATTGCGACGCACTGCAAAGCACTACATGGTGCGATGTTTACTTTTATGGTTCCAAAATCTATAGCGATGACGGAAGGAAGGAAGGAAGGACTGACAAACTACTTGGCCGCTTATATTATAGATATCAAAATTGCAATTATAATGTAATATTCATAGTAAAACCTAAGCTTCGATAGTGTAGGTAGGCCTGCCAAACATCACAATCCTACCTAATCCAGTGGACAAAACTTGATCAAAGGGTAGTGTCACGGCCTTTTCTCCTACCTATTTCATGGCACACACTCAAAACAAAAATCAACCCTTGTTCCTGTAATTTCCATAACTTTATTGGTTCATAAGTACATCTCATTCACTCCCAAAATATCGCCATGTTGTCCCGCCTTATCTCTCTCTCTCCCCCCCTTCCTTTCCTTCGCGCATGCGCACATCCACACTCTATCCTTGATCCATATCGCCTTTTAAAACACATACTCGAAACATACATACATTTACATTTCACTGTTACAGGAAGGCTACAAAAAAACACACCTTACTAACAAAGGAGCTACTCACTTTTTTGGAAGAGACATGCCCTAACGGAGATTATTTTTGCTTTAGTTATACACGACAGCAATTATGTAAAGACAATATTTATATTTCCGTCACACTCAATATTATCCTTTGAAAAATTACAAAGTTATTGGGTAGCGAACTTATTAAATAGTCTTATACAGACAAAGCAAAATTTCAGGCTACTGGCAAAACCTGGCATGAACTAAAGTGGCTCGCCCAGAACAGGGTGGAATGGCGGAGATTTGTTGCTGCCCTATACTCCACAGGGAGTGATGAGGATTCACCTAACCTAAAACCCAGCTACAGCCTCATTCATTATATCTCAGAAATCCATCTGTACTATAAATAAAACAAATTTACTCGGTAAGCCCTCGAAGAAAGCGTAACGTTACCTTTAAAGTAATGATACAATAAAACACAATTTTTATATCAGGAACATAAAAACTCAATCACGTTTTTGAAAACTATTTTGAGTGCTTTAAACATTAATTGTATATGTTATATGAAATTTAATGGCTTATACAAATAAGATGATTTAAAAAAAAAATAAAGTTAATTCATTCCTTTAGTATATCTCAAAATAATTATGCGTAAAAAGTAAATAAAATCCATCTGACAATTTTATAAATGTTAAAATTCGTTTTAAATAAAATTGACACTATAAATGCAACTTTTAAAAATGGGTGTGTTAAAACCGGACAAGTTGATTGCATTTTCAAACAGATAGTTGTTTGCAACGCTTAGGGAACCAACCGTGACCAAATATACAGCGCATGAACCACAACTCAGCAGACTGATATGGCGATCGCGACTAGCTAGATATCTCCCATTTCATTATTGAACGTTCAGTAATCTTGTAATTAGATTTTATTGACAAATCTAAAGTATATTTAGATTTTAAAATATTCATGCATTGACATTGTTGAAAAGGTATCTGGAAAATCGGAACGAAATCACTACGTTGGTGTGGGTTAAACTAAGGTAAAAGCATTGACTTAAACATACAAACAAGCAAACGGATGTTGCGAACTAAATAAAAATCTTGTGAAAACGACGCATGTTTTACATAGACAAACGTTATTTTGGAGAACGTCAAATAAAGTATGCAAAAGCCTCTGCATAGCAAGTGTTCGTACTACCGTTTGGCCACTCATTTTCACTAATACTATTAATCTTACCTTTTTCAAGTTTTATTTCTGTAATGATTAGTTCACCTGTTTGAAAAGGAAACTATTACATAACATAAAAACATAATACTATTTTTTAAAATTATTAAGTAACTTCCAATAGAGTACAAGTACATTACATTGTAATGATTATGCAATTAGGTAACAGCTTAAAAGTATACACCTTGTCACGTTTGTAAAAAGCTTATGATAATTTTTTTTAAAGATCTGTTATTGCTGAAGTCGACCATGCCGTTCCGAATACATTATTGATAATCTTACCTGTTTTAAGTTTTTTCGTTTCTGTAATGATACTTTTACCTGTTTGATAAAAAAGACATACAGCTACATCACATTTCCATAAAATAACATATATATGAATTTTAAAAAGTAGCTCCGATTAAGGTAAATTTCATTGTAATTTAAATTGCATCTGATTTCGTAAAACTTACAATATACACCTTGTCACATTTGTAAAAGGGACGGAGTGGTCTAACGGTAGAGAGCTAAACTGCTAACCCGTAAGTCTCGAGTTCGAATCAGTAGACCGTCTCTGAGTCCATCCAACTCAGATGGGTACCTAACTCACGTTAGGGAAAGTAAAGGCGGCTGGGAATAGTGCTGACCACATTATCTCTTCATATGCCAAGGTCACAGAAACAAGTGAACTCTACTTCACTTGCCCTATAAAACGTCCGGTTTGAAAGGGAACTTTACTTTACTTTACACGTTTGTAAAAAGTTTACAATAATTTAAAAAATCTGTTATAGCCAAACAATAGCTTACGCGGCTTTTCACTATGCCGTTCCATAATAATTATTAATAATCTTACTTGTTTTAAGTTTTTTAAATTCTGTAATAATACTTCGACCTGGTTGATTAAAAAGAAAAAAAAGCCATAAAACTACACCACATTTTCATTAATTAACATATTTATAAATTTTGAAAAAGGAGCTAAAATAACGTAAAAGCCATAGCAATTTAAATAACATTTGATTTAGTGACAGCTTACAATACTTACATGGACACTTTTGATTACGATAATTATTTTTTAAAAAATCTAATATTGTTATTCAATTGTGGGATGATGTTTACATTATGTAATGATACTTTCACTACACAAACAATTAAAAGGTTAACACATTATATTTATAAGCCTGATAAAATAACTCGAGCTCGCGCGCATTAACATCTAAAGGCTATGTAATTAATTAAATGATTACAATATATTCCTAGCTAACTTACGATTTAAAAAACTGCTATTTTCAAGTAGATATTTCGCGGGTGGTCGATTTTTTGGAAATTGTTGCAATGTTTTCTCTAGAAATTCACTCAGTGCCAATGACGGAGTAATAGTTGTTCCTAATGTAGGTGATTTCCCTTCATGAATTTGGATTGCGACTTGATGATTTGGGATATCTCTGAATGGACAATTTCCTGTTATCATCTCTATCACTGTGCAGCCAACACTCCTTCAAAGACGATTCAATTATTTCATTTTAAGTACATAATACAATATGTGGATGTTTGTGACGATACATTGAGATACATCTTCACTTAAAAAAAAAAAAATTTTCATAGTACACAATATGTGTGTGTTAAATAAAATGAATGTTGCGTTGCAGACCGGACTACGATGTTGCCGTCCGGTTCGTCGCCGGCTGAATACGTTGCTGACACTGACTCGGGCACTAGCCAATAAGGCCGTCGTTGTCTAGGGGAATTTAGTTATTCTACCCGAGTCAGCTACAGTAAAATATACAACGGGACAGGAGACCTTCTTAGTTTGTGCTGTTTATTAATTTGCTGATTGCGTGTTCTGCTGAGCGAGGCTTCCCCTAACCGCTAACGTCGGGAGCGCTTGTGCGAGAGACAGAGACTAACTAACCTACCTGTATTTATACCCCTGTTCTGACCTCCTAGCTATTCCCACGGGACAATGAGCTCAAACCTTGTGACCTAACAAATTATCCCCCCTGGCGCTAACTACCCTGGCTACTGGTCAGTATAAAGATTACCATTGTTCTGTCAGAGCGGTCAGTCTCTTTGAGCGTGTCACCTACTGTCCATCCCTACGGTGTACCCTGTAGTTATCTAGTGAATGGATGTTTGTGGAATTCTGACTCAACATACTGGACCCATTTCTAATAGTCCGATTTTACCAGAGATATAGAAACTTAACTGAATTGTAACTTATATATATATAATACGGCTTTTATTTGAGGAAACAATAAAAATCGCAATAGATAAATTATTTTAACAAAATATGATGTGACATTCGTATGTTTATTTCTTCGTGCTCGTAGTGACTATGTAAACGAAAATAATAATACTATAGTGAACCTAAACCTGCTCACCCTCATGCACACGTGCAAAATTAAACATTCATTTTTATGTTGAAATCAAGCATTGTATGTGTAGGTAGCATATCTAGAAGCTCAAAACAATTGGTCCAGTGATTGACCTGTAATTAACTAAAATGTAACATTGTCGGGTCAATTTGACCCGCCTTGTAGGGATAGGGTTGAACGGACACAAATTTTGAAAATTCATAAAAAATTAATATAGCAGAAGCATAGAGTGTTACCACTGTGGAAAAAAAGGCCATGTAAAGTCTGAGTGTCTCAGCTTACAAAATAGAGATACATATCTCAGCAATAATTACAGAGGAGGTTATGCACCTAATAATAATTATAGAAATCAAAGTAATTATTACAGACAAGAACAGTATGGTAGACAAAGTAGAAATGAATTCTACAATCAAAGTAGACAGCCAAGAATGGGACCAGACAACAGAGGAGAAAATAGAATTAGTAGAAATAATCATCAAGAGATATCAGCAGGAGTAGAAGGGTCAGAGATGGTGGCATCTGTTAGTCAAAGCAATACAACACTGAAGATGTTCCCAGCTAAAGTAAACAATGTCAGAGTAATGTGCCTGAGAGATTCAGGTTGCACATGCATTATTGTTAAGAAAAGTCTTGTAAGACCTGAACAATACATTCCTGGCATAATGAAAATGACATATGCCAACTAGAAATTTAAGGATGAGTGTGAGATGGCAGTAGTTGATATAGATTCTGCTTGACTGAAAGGTAAATATAAAGTGGCAGTCATGGAAGAACCAATAGCAGATATGATCATTGGGAATGTAAAGGAGGTGAAAGAAAGTAATGAGGAAGATATAGATAGATGGGAAAGTCAAATTGGAGCAGCGGTTCAGACAAGAGCACAGAAACAAGCAAATCAGGGAAGTGTGGACAATGAGAAAAGCAACACAGAATTAATAGAAGATATAAATGAATGGATAAAACTTCAGGAAGAAGACAATACTCTCAAAAATATACTGAAAAACATCAATACAAGTAACATGAAGGCCAGGGGATCTAAGTACACTAAAGAAAATAATGTTTTAGTTAGGAAATATATTGATGACAAGAATAATGAAAAGACTCAGATAGTAGTACCACAACCCATGAGAACAAAGATATTACAACAAGCACATAATAGTCCATTGGGGGCACACATGGCAAAAAAAATACATTTGAGAGAATATCTGAAGATTACTACTGGCCTTTAATGAAGGAAGACATAAAGAAACACATACAAAAAATGCACCAAATGCATAAGACTCAATCCTATTGATGGGAAACATAATGCACCCATACAACAGACAGATAGAGTTACAAGGCCATTCCAAAAAATAGCAGTGGACATAGTTGGACCTATGGAACACCCTACTTCCCAGGGCCACAAGTTCATATTAACTATAGTGGATTGGGCAACCAGATGGCCAGAGGCAATACCACTTAGAGAGATTACAGCTGTGGCTATCTGTGATGCTGTGATGAGTGTATGTACAAGATTCGGTTTTCCTGATACGATTTTATCAGACAATGGGACACAGTTTAAAGCCAAATTGACAAAGGCATTCACAAGCTTCTTGAACATTGCACAAGTACATAGTACCATATACAATCCACAAGCAAATGGGATTAATGAGAGATGGAATAAAACACTGAAGACTATGTTAGAAAAGCTAACAGAGGATCACCCAGGTGAATGGCACAAGTATTTACCTCAAGTACTATTTGCATACAGAGAGACTAAACATGAGTCAACAGGTTTTTCGCCTTTTGAACTGATATATGGGGTAAAGCCAAGAGGCCCATTAACTTTATTGAAACACAAATTATTAAATAAACAGGAAGAGGAATTTGATCCTCAGGAATTAGTGAACCAGACAAGAGAGAGAATAGTTTATGGGGTGCAGAGAGCCCAAGAAAATGCACAGTTAGCCAGTGAAAGGCACAGAAACATAAAAAACAAACATAGATATTTAAGAACTTTTGAAAGAGGAGATTTAGTTTTTGTCAAACTGCCAGACAGAAAAAACATAGATGTATTTCAAGGACCTTTTGAAGTAATCAAGAAACTATCTGATGGAAATTATCAAATAAACATAAAGGGAAATAACACTCCTATACACATAGACAGAATAAGGAAATTATATGTAGAGCCAGAGAAACTGATAGAAGAGGAACATATGGCCTGTACTATAATAAGTGAAAGCTGTAATACACAAGAAATTAAGACTAATCATATCCCAGTGAATGAGAAAAACATAATAGACAAAATAATAAATGAGTACAAAGATGTGATTACAACAGAAATTGGTTTTACCGAAACAATTCAACACAAAATAGAATTGACTGATTATAGTGCTATGAAAGGGAAGCATTACCAAGTACCAGTTGCTTATAGAGAAGCTGTTGAAGCAGAACTGGATTTTCTACTTGAGTCTGGTCAAATAGAAAGAACAGAATCGGCATACTCATCACAGAGGCATCTGGCAAATAGGACTGGAAAAGGAGTCAAGACAATACACTGCCTTTACATCTAGCAAAGGTCTATGTCAATGGAAGGTGATGCCATTCGGGCTTGTGAACAGCACCGCCACGTTCCGAAAATTCATGAATAAAATGACAGAGGGAATGAAAAACCTGGTCTTCTTTGTTGATGATATATGCATACATAATAACACATGGGCAGAACACATAGAAACACTAAAAGAACTACTGGAAAGACTTAGAAAACATGGGGTTACCATAGCACCAGAGAAACTGCATGTGGGAGTAGATACAGTAGAATTCCTAGGATTTAAGGTTGGAAATAAAGAAATTAGACCTACTGAAGGAAATAGGGACAAAATATTAAATATCAAAACCCCTTCTACAAAGAAAGAAGTGAAAGCATTGTTGGGACTATGCAATTTTTATAACATTTTTGTGGATAAATATGCTGAACTTACTACTCCTTTAAGAAAATTACTATCCAAAGACAAAGTTAAACTAGTGTGGACACAGGAATGTGAAAGTACCTTGAATATAATAAAGGCTGAATTCATGAGTGACAAGGTACCAATATCACCAGATTTTAGTAAGCATTTCACTCTTTTTACTAATGCATCAAATGTAGCGTTAGGAGCCTGCTTAATGCAAGAAAAGGGCAATAAACTATACCCAGTACAATACCTCAGCAGGGCATTATCACCAACAGAACAAAGATAGGCAGTGATTGAGAATAAGTGCCTAGCAATTGTATGGGCATTGAGTAAATTACAGAAGTATTTATTGGGAAGACACTTTACTCTCAGAATAGATCACAAGCCATTGATCACAATCAATAAGAAAATGATAATGAATAGCAAAATAAATAGATGGGCACTGATTTTACTAGATTTCAAGTTGGAGATAAAAACAGTAAAGGGACAGCACAATACACTAGCTGATTTTTTATCAAGACAGATTGAAGATAAAAAAACAAACATGGAACTGACTAAAGAAAATAATGACCTGAGACATATCAGCCAATCCTTATAAGGAAACTTTGAATAATGTAGTATGTGATGTGTACTTCCAGAGAACATTAACATTTTAAAAAATGTGAGCAAGATAGGAAGAAGTCATAATATGACTTGTATAAATATGTTTTACCACTATTTTAATTTAGTAATGAAAATGAACATACATTTTGTTGTATTTTTATGATTTGTATGTATACTGTATATCTTGTTAAGTAATGAACATGATTATGGCAGTATGACCTGACAGATCTGGTAATTATATTTATGATGAGGAGTTTAACTCAACTATTGAAGTAGGGAAATCAAAGATATGATTTGCCCATTGCTATTACATAGCTATGACTTTGTTCTACTAGGAGAAAGTTTCCTCAGTTAGATTTATTTGAGATACACTAAGAGGCAATATTCCTTAGTGAGGTTTAATGATTTTTTTTGTTACACTAAGAGGAGATGTTCCTTAGTTAGAGTCATTTGTTCTTACTAAACTAAGAAGGTTTACCTAAGTTACAATTTTTTTAATGGCGATACTTATAATATAAGTGACGGTTTACACTTTGCCATGTATTGACTATAAGTAATTTGTTACTTTGTTAGTTCTAGGTTTAGGAACTCTTTGGTTTATTGGATATGATATCAGTTGAGGATATATTTTCTGATTTGGTTGTTGGACCCAGTATTTTCCCTGTTTCCCTTGTAGAGTAGTTGTATTGTCGTACTCACCCATTCATGCTGGATGCTGTCTGGTTGATACGTAACGTAGTTATTTGATGGATACTGATTATGGTTATTTGGATCTCGATGGTTTGCCGAGATATTTTGTTTGTCCCGGGTTCATGGGAAATACTCCTCTATGGGATATAGTATTGGCTTATTGATAGTTCTGATTTAATTCAAAAAGTGTACATATAAAATAATCTAGGATGTTCATTAACAAGTTCTTTTTCCACATGATTTTCATTTCACTGTTATGTTATCATGAAGATTTTATAGTGAATGTGATCTATATAACAAAAACAAATAATTAATTAATTTTTTTTTAACGGGAGAAAGGGCGTATAACAGTGAAACATTGTTGGATCGTATCTTGGGAGTGTGTTTCTTTGAGATTGCATCAGAAAAAGACAGTAGCTGTGCGGATGCGTGAGAGGAAGAAGGGAAAAAGGCAAGAACATGGCGTAGCTTGGCTGAACATGCCGTCTATGTGAAGACAAAATAAATGTATATAGAACGTAAAAGAAGGCTTGTCTTGTGATTTCGTGTGTGATAGATAAAGGTAGGAGAAAGGCCTGTGGCAAGTTTATATCGTGAACCCAGTCACACAAAAAGGGTGTGACACAAACGTAGGCGCAATTGCACTCATGGGAAGACCCGGGGCGCAAATCGCACTCTGCCACGGCGCCGGCGGAAGAGCCTGATTCAATGTGGTGAATGACTACAATACCCAAAGCTTGTATGCCAACGGAAAGATAGTTAACATAGAGGACATTTAAAAGGCTTCTAAACAGTTATGGATTACTGATTGCGCTTATGGAAAGGCCCGGGGCACCAAATAGCACACTGTCCGGGCGCCGAAGAATGTCCTGGTTTTGATTTAGTGAACGACTATAATACCCCCAGCTTGTCAGCGAACCGAATGTTAGAAGTAAACTTAAAGGACACTTTTTGACCGGCTTCTAAACTGTTATTGATTAAAAATTATAAGCAGTAAACAGTGTGTAAAGTGTATAAAACAAAAAAAGGCAGTATTTTGAATATCCGTGTTTCACCTTACACATTGCACTTAAACCATCCATGCTAATTATATTATTTCGACAATAATGATCTTTCTGATGTCCGTGTAATATGCATTCACATTTTTTTAAATAATAAATAACAATATTTAGCGTGAGTTGAATTTTTTTTAAATGACCTCCCTTTGCAAAATTTTAAACGTTTTATTAAACATTTTAATTGTTTGTTATTACAAGCTTTTATTTAACTTGCTTCCCCTCTCGTCAGTCGGTCTAAATCGAAACGCCGGAGCGAAATATCGGGCACTTCTAACGGATATATTCGTTTCAAAGTAGGCACGTGGGTCAAGACATGAAAAAATTATTACCATATATCTGCCTTTTCGTTATATTTCAATTTGCTTGCTTGTGTATTCATGACCTCTGGTGCCATCCATCTTTCCGTGCCGACACCGGACGTTGATGTACTAGAAACATCTTGGAGAATTTTTGAAATCCCAAAGTCTGTAAGTCTGACATGACTTTCATCTTCCATTAACACGTTGGCCCCTGTAATGCACACATTACTTTAATTGTTGTAAACTTTTTGCTAAGCTATTTTATTAATGCAACAAAAAATTGCTTATAACATAATGTACATTTATGATAAAACACAAAGAATGATTTTTTTTCAAAAGCTTTTCACTGTATTGTATTCTTTCTATAGATGAATATCCAAAAATCTTAAAAAGGACCATAACAAATCATTCTTCTAAGCATCAATGTTATATGAAGAAAATAACTGAAATGAAATAAAACTAATTCCAAAATTACATTTAATATTGTAAAGCACAATTAAAATACTAGTTAATTGTAATCTTTAAACGTACACTGCGCTGATTGGGGTCGTAATTCGATTGAGCTATAATTATTCAGTGTCATTTTAATATTTATCTTACGTGAGTGGAAGCTGGAAATCTAAAACTTCTTTGGACAGTTTTTTTTTTAACTAGCCATCGGTACCCGTTTCACGTGAATTATAAGCTTATATTTTTTTTAATGTTGCACTTGTTGGAGAAAAATAATTTATAAAATAGTTATTGTTCAAAACGAAATGTGCTTTACTACACGCTGAACGATATTAGTGACAAAGCAAAGAAATAACTAATAAGCTAAAAATCCGTCACATTTAACACAGGCACACACTGATTAATTGCCTTAACCCCTTTATGCCTGAATTATGTTCCAAGCGTGTAAAAAAATATTTGTGTTGATTTTCTCTTATCATACTCACACTGAATTTGAGGTATATAGTTGTTTTTAAATTTGGACTTATTTTTTATGCTAATTACGGTATGTCGAGAAAACGTGACATCAGGCACTTATGGACAAAACAGAAGTTGTTTTTTTTTTTAGTCTGGGTCATTTTACTTTTTTTACTGACACTTGTTTCTCTAAATATCCACGCGCAAACTATAGACTATCACAAACTAAACATATTGACACGCAAGGAGACGTAGACTCACTTGTAAAATTCATGAAAACTATAGTTTCTTAGCTGCTGCATCAGCTCACTGTCTAACTCTTATGAATGGGTATTTTGAAGCCTTGCTGTCGTGGTTCTACAACACTACAGTAACACACTACATAAGAAAGGACTTCCTTAAAGTGTAGAACCTTAGTTACGTCATTTTCGTGAACTCTTATGTAAGGTCAACTAATAAAGACGCATATTTCCCTTTTGACCTATATTTGTTATACACTCAAAAGCACGTGAACAAATACTGTCCTAAATGACAGTGTTCAGCCATTGTATATTCGTCCATGCTCAATGCAGCTGCTGTGGGTACTCAGTGCCACAGGTGTGCTATTGTTGATGATACCCTATGTTTCCGATTTGTGCTACGGCTATTGTGCTTGACTGATTCTGCTATTAATTACCAATGACAGTGCTGTAGCTACATATTGCCACTGGTATGGGTACTCAGTGCTGAAACAGTGGGTACTGAGTGTTGAAGCCGTGGGTACTCATTGTAGAAGCTGTGGGTACTCAGTGTTACTGCAGTCGGTTCTTGGTGTCACTGCTGTAGGTATTCAGCGCTGGAGCTGTTGGTAATCGATAACGTTGATGTGGGAACTCAGCCTTAGCAGTGGGTACTCAGTATCACTCTGTGAGTGCTTAGTGCTAAAACTGTAGTTGCTCAGTGTCACTGATGTTGGTACTCAGTACTGAAGATGTGGGTACTCAATAACACTGCTGTCTGTACTAAACGCTAGTATAATGCCACTAATGTGGGTATTCATTAGCACTGCAAAGGGTGTGTGTGTCAGTACTCAACCTTACTGTATTTATTACGAGGTATAGGTCTATGATCAGTGTTATTATTGTCAAGGTCACTGTGAAGACCTATCTTTGGGGGTATCCAGGAAAGTGGTCGACCACATAACTTCCTGTTGTCCTTTTATTTTTATGTCCTCCTAATGTTTGACAATGCTATTTCAAAGCTTAATTCGTTATATTGTACCCATCAACATGATCACATTATTCCAGCATCGCTCTATCTCCATAAGCAAATGTCAATGAAATAGGTGAACTCTACTTCACCTACCACATGGACCGCAACGTTCTAAATTGCACTTTTATACATAGGCGAAGACTATGTTGTAGATTCTAGATCCTTTACGTATTTATAATCATACTTGAATGAAAGACAATTTGGCGATGCATCGTATTTTGTTATACCTGCTTGACACCCAAGAACCATTTTATGTATTATTGCCGGATGTCGCGTTTTCGCGACAAACCGTAATCAGCAGATAACTTCCAAAATTATTCTCATATGTTATTTTTACTGTTTATATACATAAAAGAGTGAATGATAAAGCTATTAGTATTTTTTGTGGCAAAAACGGATTACATATTTAGTAATAATATTCAATGTAAGTAGGCTGAATTCACGAAGTCAAAAATATTACGATGCGGGTGAGTCAATAGAGTGTGACGTCATAAATTTCGACTTGACAACGTGACCGTTGGTACCGATACAACCGTCTGGATGTACCCAATACACAACGACCGGCAGCGGTAGGATAAATGTATCTATGCGCATATGCTATGCGCTAAAAACACATATTTCGGCTTAGGATGGGTCTGACCACACCATCCCTTCATATGCTAAAAAGACAGAAACAGGTTAACTCTACTTCACCTGCCCCGTGTCCCGCCATGTCCTGATAGGCAACATTATTATCAACCTATTAAAACAAATTGAAAACAAATTAAGATTGACTTGGTGTGTCTCGAACCCGTACAACCCGCATGATAGTAATTACACACTCATGAAGAAACTTAACTTTCGCGAATATCCCTATTCGTTCAAAGAAAATGTTATCCCAAGTTTGCCAATTCCATAGCTAAACAAAGATTTCTATAAAATAATTAAGGCCTGAAATATAGAAATTTATTATGAGAATAGAATCTAGAGTAGATAGTCTAAATCTAGATCTTAGCGTCCACGTCTAGTTTTTCCGTAGATCTAGTCTAGATTTAGAATCTCTAGATCTAGAATCCAAATAGATAAAGTAAATTTGATAAGTTTAGGCCGAGAAAATTGTATAGTATACATTTCATAGCGTACATAGATCTAAATCAAAATTTTAATGAAATAGTTCATTTCTTTATATTCTAAATTCGGAAGATGACGCCTTGAGTTTTGGGTACTATCCTTACTGTAAACAGTTGGCATATGACGTCATTGTTTTATGCGTTCTTTTTCACAACTATAAACACTTTTCCTGTTGCATAATTAAAACTGTTTTTCTACATTCGAATATGCCTTTATTTTTCTTCTTTAAATAAAATTTTGTTTATACATTTAAAACAAACATCTACCATATTATTTTCATCAAAAGTCCGTATCAAGTTCTCCATATATCGCTGAAGATTCTGATGTGATATCCGGCGAAAATATTTTGCAGACAGAGAGAGAGAAACAGAGAAGTGCGCATATGTGTTTTTATATATTAGGATAAAAATAGATTTACTTTTGTTTAAAAACAACATGATATATTTGAAACACATGACACATTAAGGCCACCGGCAGAAAAAGGTACACGTTTGTAGAAGATGTTATAGAGTAGACGAGTAAACCATACTTTCAACTACTCTAGGAAATCATGAACAATTATACACTAAGTCCAAGCCTAATTAAAAACAGTAAACAAAACCACGCGCCAAAAACCACAGGTCCATTATCTGAGAGTTCATCAATGTGTAAAGCCCACAAAAACGAATAGGCTTAATATAGATTTTATTAGCTTTTAACTTTTTTTTTTGTTCCCAACGTCCGCTGGTTTGATTGTTTTTCGAGGCAAATCGTGTAACTCAATTTTGACCAACTTGTGAGCAGCGGTTTTGTTCAAATTTTCCAGATACCTTCTTCGTCGAGGACCATGCATGCATATCTATTTTTTTTAAAAATCTAATTAGACATTGGATTAGCCATTAAAATCTAGTTAAGTTATGAGATAACAATATTAAACGCTCACAATCACATGATAGTTGATAGATTACTAAATTCAATAACACAAGGGGAGATAACTAATTTGACGCGATCATAAATTGAGCTGAGCTTAGGTTCAAGCTGAATGTTGTTTGGTCACGGTTGCATGCCAGAGTGTCAAATCACAAACTAGTAATCGTGTTATAACACAAGAAAATAAAACAATTTTTAAAAAAATAAGAGCTTTGGTCGCTAAAATGTGTAATGTGTATGAGATCGCACAATCATAAATTTAAAAAAGACGTTTTTAAAAATGTGTTAGTTGTTTTTCTTACGTGTTTTTAATATAACAAAAAAATTTGTGCTTAGGCATGTCAAATATTGTTCGATAAAATAAATGATAATATAAGGATCTCAACTGGTTTTGTAAAGTGTATTTAACTTGAAAATCTGCCGAATTGATCTTACTAACAACTTTATGCTGGTGGAGATGTAGGCCTAGTGTAAGGTGGATGAGATAGGCAGATGAGCTGCGTTTCGTTCACATACTTGCTTTTAATGCTGAGCTATTTCAGTCACTTTAATTCACTTACTCATTATACTTTTGAGCTATACTTTATCCCTTAAGTTAAGGGGCTATGAACGTCACCGAATATAATTAAAACTAAATGTTACTATATAATATTCTGTTTCTTCGTTTAATTTTCATCACTGATTTCTTTTCGCTGGTCTTTACCTCTTTTGCCAAGGTAAGTGTCATTAAATAGCTCGTATTCACAATCAGTTGCAACCTTTCCTGTTTTTTTTTTCTTTCTCAAATTGTACTCGTATGTCAAAGCAAATTTTAGCTGGCTCAACAGCTGGTACCTCAAAGCTTGCTTGTCGGGACACTCGCAGGTCGAGGTACCATTAAATCAAATGTGTCGTTTTCTGTCAGCTTTTTAGCGATTTCTTAAAAGCCTATTAATTATGTACCGTTTATGTTTGGTGGATGAAATATTTAATATAATTATTAGTTTTACGGAAACTGGAAGTGAAATTACTTACCTAACTGAAACAGTACACAAAAACTCGTGTACTGTTTCAACTAGGTAAGCAAAATTTCTTACATAAATGTAAGATCTTCTACTGATATTAAGATTACATTGTTGCGTGTTCTATGATATACGGAATTGGTGCTTAACTTAAGTCATACATCATGCATCTTATTCCATTTATTCTTACAAGCTTTGAATGATTTCCGGTTTACGTTATTTCCGACTGTTCAAATAACAATAAGAGTCTGATAATCTAATATCACTTTAGGTAGGCAATTCTTTTTTTCGACACAATTATATTCTATTAAGTTATGTATAAGAGAGTGGGCGTTACGGTACGTTACTATATCAAGTAAGAACAAGTAGAATCCATTTTTATTTCCCAGACAACTAAAGTGTTCAGTACAATTGAATTTGTTAATTTATTTTTGCTGCAAATTCATAAACCTCTTGGAACTAGATTGGCCGGAAAACTGTTGGTATATTAAGATTCATAAGAACAGTTGTAGTTGTAACAATTTAAATAAAGTGTTTTGCGAATCCATTAAACCACGAACATTAAATAATACTATATTTAATTTCAGACAGGTTTGCTTATGTCATCAGTAGTGTTCTTTTAAATCTAAACAGTTACATTACTAAATTTTTAAACAAAATGTACCTTTCACATCGCGATGTATAATGTTATGTTCATGTAAAAAAGCCAGCCCTTCTAAGATTTGTCTTGTAAACCGTCTTGTCTCTTCTTCTCCTAGACCTTTTTTCTTCTTCGAATATTCCTTCAGCGAGCCCTTAAACAACAAATAATTTGAAGTTACTTATTTATGAAATGTATGCATTGAATTATTTGAAGTAAATCATATAATTTAGAAAAATTTTCCGCGATCTAATTTTCTTATTAAAAAAATAAAATAAAATTTAAAGTATTAAAATATTACCAGCTTCATATATCCCAGAAAAATGGATAGGGTCGTTTCAGATTTATGTGTGCCAAGAAACGGAACAATGTTTTCATGGTTACCAAGTGTTTTCAATATTTTCGTCTCATTTTCAAAGCTTTTCTGGTATTTATTGAAGTATAAACATTTAGAAGCATTTAATTCTAATATCAAGCAAACATTTGTGATATTCAATTTTAGTTTAGTTTATTAGCATTATGATTTGCATGAATTGTAACTCACTACATGTAAACTTAATCGTGATAACTGTTTTTTTTTATTAACGATAAAAGTTCTTTAAAAACTTGCATTTAATTTTAATTTTTGAAAACACATGTAAGAAAAAGATGGTACTCTGCAAACGATGAGAATAAGATTAGTTACTATCGCCCTTAACTCACCACAAAATGTTTATTTTCGCTGGTTTCAAAGACAAGTATTTCTTTCACAACATATTTTGGTTCACTGTTGTCTCTCAAAGACTTCACCAGGTAAACTGTGCCAAAACCTCCACTGCCAATTGGGTCACCCTTCTCCCAATCTTACGCAAATATCAATCAGAAACACTTATGTAACTGCTAGTAAACATGACATATTTTGTTGGTGAACTAAACCAAATATAATATAGTATACAGTACATTGCGCACACTACTAGTAATATGTATAGGTTTATCATAGTTTCTAAAAAAAAACAATTTGGTGAAAAATACCTTTACCAAAAACACCAATACATTTCTGTAGAGAATCGTCGTTACATTCTATAGAGATCTGTAATTTATTATTATAATATTGATAATTTAAAACCTTCAACACTTATGGTGATGAACTGAGTAGCCAACTTAATAAAAACGCACACTTTAGTATATGAGATGCATATTTCTTTGTTACCCACACATAGGTATGAAAAGTATATGTAATCATACCATATTTTCAAAAAAATCTTTTTAAAAACATGTCCAGCGATAAAATTATAGTTATACTTGAAAAAGTTAAAGCCGTTTTTGGAACCATCGATTACATTAATTTTTATGTTGTTGTGTCGAATAAACGCCGTTGAAAACAGTTTAGAGTTATTTATGAATTCAAATATTTTAAAAAAACTGCACTCAACCTCTCCTTGAAGTCAAACGAAATGGCAAGGGAGAGTCTTCATCTTCTTCATTCTTAATTTTAATGTTGGAAGGGATCCTCCTCCAACACAATTAAGGATTACGTGTCAACTGGTTATGCGTTATTGAGGACATTAACTCCGATTTCAGCCTGCTTTTCTTTTTGGATTTGCTTCCATAGACATTGTCCAACCAAGAACAAACTACAAGGCAGCGGTTGTTTGATTTTGGAGTTGTCTCTCCTGGAAGAGTGGCTGTACCCAGCAAAAGAGCCTCATCTTCCCGAGGGTTCGAACTCGAGACTTTTCGGTTTAGCAATCATGAGTTTTACCGATTCTACTAAATTACTATTACATTACTAGTAATTATTTCTTTACATTTTCTAGCCTTAAAGAAACAGGAAGTAATTTTCATTTATTACACACATGTTAAATTTTGGTTCAAATGTATGGTTTCTGGCAACAAAAAATCGAAACCAGCTTTTTAAGTGTACTACCATCTATTCAAACAAATTTTGATATATAGTCAATATCTATGTTCCTAATCTATGTTCCTTAATGCCAACACCATTTTGTGTTTTATATCTCTAACTTCACTTCAACTTACTATAATAACAATTTTGAGATTTTCAATAGTATTACAGTGTATAATATTTTTTAATAGTCGTTTAAAAATCGAAATAGTTGTAATTTATAAAACGTATCAGCCTAACTAAGTGTCAGGTTATAAGCATTCAAGAGTTACGAAAATAGATCTAGCTTTTAAAAAATGTGTTACAAATGTTTTTTTGTTGTTGTAAATAAGCTATTTAAAGAATTCTTTTATATGATAAGCATGATTAATAGCATAAACACAAATAAATAAACCAACCTTTTCAGCCATTTGTGTAACTGAATCGACAATGTGTTTTAATACATACTAACAGCCCTACGTTAACATTCACTATGTGTCTAAACTACACACCCTTGTCTAAACTTGGTGGTTGTTTATCAACCTACATAACGCATGCCGTGTTAGGGGATTTCCCGAAACTTTTCCAACAAAACGTACGATTACTAATAACGTAAACACGAGAAAACAAATCAAATTCCGATCACACTGATTCCGTTTCAGCGGGTCGATAAAATGTTTGTAAGCTTAATTTGTGAGAATTAAATATTTTAAATATTTTCCAGCAAACCATGACTTCATACTGTTTCCAATTAATAGTCGTTGCATCCAGGGGCGTAGCGAAGGGGGGGGGGGAGGGGGGAGCGTGGGGGGTGGTGGACCGCATCGGGTGACACCATTTAGGGGGGGTGACACCAAGGTAAAAAATATCAAAATATATACAGAAAAATAATAATTCTGCTTTAAAAAGTGGTTTATTAGAGTGCTAAATGTTCTTTTAACAGCAAATTTAATAAATCCCGACAACATGCTAATGATAGAGAAAACATCAAGCTGTATTTATAACCGACTATAGATACTAATCGTTAGTATTATATCTGAGCACAGTTTAAAGCAATTCCCGTGGCGGGGGGGGGGGGGGGGAAGGGTGAGTGGGGGGAAGTTACGTTAACTCAACGTTGCAAAATATGCCTGAAGTTAACGGTTTGGTAATTAATAACTTACATTGTAATCCATGTATGGGGTAGAGAGGAGGTAAAAAAAAATTAAATACATTAAAAATGTGAATACATACACATGCATATATACATACTTATATAAATTCAATTTGGCTGGATAGAACACGGGGGCCGGTACCGGTTGGCCGCAAAGTCCACGAAGAGAGGGTCAAAACTGCCTTCGACTGACTGGCGCCTTATATGAGCTTTTTTGACCCCCCTTGAGGGTAACAAAAACATTATTCCCCTCAGATAAACACCATAGGATCGTTAGATTTTTCCAGATACCGTATATTCTTATATAAATAATTGTTTGTTAAAAATTAAACAAAGACTACGTCGTTTGGTATGTATAAAGGGGAGGTAACTTTTTAAGTAATAATTTTAAATAATGTATTTACTATTTCGTTATAAATTAAGTTGTGTATTGTATTAAAATTGTAAAAGTTAATTTTGAATGTAAATTTAATATAAAATTTGATTTATACTTTTAAGGAAGCCTTTGCAGCTCTAATAACATAGTAAGTAATACTTTTGCAAATACTCCAACTATTGTTGCATGACTTAAAATTACTCAGACTGTTTAAGCTTAGCCCCTCAATCACCAATTAATTAATCATTCAATTTCTCAAAAGTTTTTTTTTTAAAAACTCAAGCGAAGCTAGGCAGCGTGCCTAGTATATGTATGTATGTATGTTTATATATATATATATATATATATATATATATATATATATATATATATATATATATATATATATATATATATATATATATATATGACAAATGATCACAGGACAAATGATCTCAGGACAACTGATCTCAAGGACAAATGATCTCACGGACAAAAGGTACCAGGATAAAATATATCAGGACAAATGATACCATGGACAAATGATCTCAGACAAAATATTACAGCTAAAATATCTCACAGCAAATTGTAATAGGTATTGCATGATTTTAGTTGATCTGAACATTTTTTATTGACTGTCATATGGTTTTGTTTACTATGTTTAATTTTGTTTATTGGCCTATTTAATAATTGCAAGAAATGTTTGCCGTATAAATTTGTCATAATGCACTAAACATTTTAAAATTAAGATAACTAAAACAGTATGCGAAGATTAGAGAATTTTTTTCGATAGACAGCGTAGGTGGGCTTGCCAAACATGAGACAATCCTACCATGTCAGGTGGACGAAACTAGATCAAAGAGAAGGAAATAACAATGAAGACACACCTTCGTATCAAGGTGGTCGCCCCCTTTGATGCCAGAGACATGTCTTAAGGGAAAGACATCCGCCCTCCATGGACATGCAAATAACATATAAAGTCAATAGTTATGCGTCGGTCACACCTTAGTGATTAGGTAACAAATACTTATTTAAAGGACAGTGGTTGTCGCGGAGCTAAGTTTGACTTACTGTGCATGCAAACAAAGAGTATTTGTGGTGATTACTCAGCTATGGCCTCTTTCGTTACCTCGCAGAAAGGTTTTAGGACATTAGTTTCTGGTGTATTTATGTTTATAAATGCCATAAGTGGAGCAGCAGGCAAAGAGATTTGGAAATGTGAAGTTAGAACATGTCGAGCAAGAGTTCACACAATCCATGATCATATAGTTGGTAGAGGTGTGATTATAACGATGTACCTGCCAGCAAAGAAACTTAAACGTTATGATAGTGTTGATAATGCAATAAAAACAATAGATGTACGTTACGAACCCGAAAACCCATTCACATTTATGAAAAATATTTCGCCAGTTTTGAACATTAATGTTGTATAACTACCGTAACTATCTTTGTTATATACATTATCATTTATTATACCTTTCAGGCTAAAGGAGTAAGTTTGTTTTATTTATACCTTTTCAAATCAAATACTATTACAAACATTAACTTTAATAAATCAATCGTCAGACACCTAAATAAAATCTCTTAATCAGTGACAGTGACTAGTAGAAAGTAAACACGCGCTATGCTGATTGTAATGCGGGGGGGGGGGGGGGGCGGGGGCACTTTTTCGGCAACATGATTAACTAAATATCTGTTGTGTAGGGGAAGTGAGCGCAAATTTGATACTTCGCTCGGGACACAGGAATGGGTTACTACACCTCTTGATACCTGTAATAGTAAAATTCGAAGTAAATTATTTCTTGTACCTTGGTAGTGGTTTTGCAAAATACAAACAGATCTACTACATTTATTAACTCAAGCTGTTCCCTAGAACAGTTCAGCGTGAGAGAGAGAGTCAAACATTCATACGGCTTCCATTACTTCTTTTCTTTATATTTTCCAGTATTGGGTGTCCATCAAGTTTATGTGAATAGTTATAAAAGGGACGCTGAACAGTAAGAGGGAACACAACAGACTTTTAAATAGTCGAATGGGGCCCGTTAGCTGCACAGTTTAGTTGTTATTTTTAATGTACTGCTTGTGTTTGACCTCCAACATGGATCTTATGACTAGTCTCAACGCACACGGAATTTTTTAACATGAAGTGAAGGCTGGAATTTGAATTCTTCTTCATTCTAAATTTAGCGTTTTTTCTTATGAGAAATAGATTCACATGAAAATTGAGTGTATCCTATAATTATTTACATATCCGTTACCAATAGGAAGTATGTAAAAACTGCTCGAATGGAAAATCGAGATCAGCTGAAAAGAGTAAACTGCAGAAATAGACACATAAACACGTAGATATTTAAAAAAAAAGACAAATACCCTTTGTATACGTTTAATATAATATACACTCAATGAATAAAAATAAAAGATTTTGTTATATGAAAATCAAAGAAGTTGTATAATCGACACATTTTAAATTAACTTGTTGGAAATAGTCACATTCTGTCTCAATAATACTTTTCATTACTGCTAATAAATGAAATAACAGATGGAAATATACATATAACAGTAAACTTTAATCCAAAAAGTAAGGTACATACATGTATATGTATATATATATATATATATATATATATATATATATATATATATATATATATATATATATATATAAATTCGTTATTTAATAAGACATTACACGTTTTTAGCTTCGAGACTCTTATGGATTGAGTGTGCGTTATGTTACCAACAATCTAACATTTTTACATAGTTTTTTTATGTCATATTGAGACGGCATGGTCTAGAGGTATAGTCAGTAGAAGTTAGGGAATGTAAAGGCGGCTGGGCATATGGCTGACAACTTTATCTCTTCATATGCCGTTGTCACAGAAATAGGTGAACTCTACTTCATTTGTCTCATTCTAGGATTGAAAGGGAACTTTACTAAAAATATAGCACAAACATAACGTTATTGAAACATCCCATTCACAACCGCATTCTAAATCTTGTTTTGTATAACAGAAAGCCAGCGCTACCACCAAAGTTTAAATAAGTTTTAATACATGTTACTTATATTATTATATTTTAAAATTCAAACCTATGTTTTTAGGTAATTGGGAAAATGTATTTAATGACAATAAAGAATCAAGAAATTACTTAAAAATTAGTTCAAGAAATCCCAAGCATATGAGGCTTTAATTCTGCCTTTGTGTTTCAAGCCATCCATGAAACCATTGAGTAACTGATTTTTTAATCGCTTCACAATAACAAACAAACTCATCTCCAGAGGTAATTAAAAATATGCCTTATTTGTTTATAAATTCAGGTCCATATATATCTGTTAAAATTCTTAATGTCTCCCAATATTCACGAGTAAATCTATTACCAAATCTAAAAACAAACAAAAAAGCAGTAGCTCCTTTCTTAGATCTATTCATGATTTCTGTGGCATCTGCTACAGCTGACACTTTATTTCTTTATAAGACAAGTCAGTTCTAAAAATACCCGGTTTATCAAAAACCTCAAACAACTCTCCTTGTATTTTTGCTTTACCTTTACAAACATTTAATGTTCCTGGATTATAACCGTTGTACTCGTGAAACACTCGACTTCCCAACAATGTATTACCAGAAGCACTTTTACCTTGGCGACATATTCCAACCAACACCAGTGTGTACTTCACTTCTGTAAAAATGTAAAACAAGTAACATAGTATGATATATTTTTATAAAAATATTAACTCAGTATAACTGTTTAACAAATCAAATTGCTCTTAATATGTAAGCTTACCTATATGAAATCTATATGTATACAAAGGAAAGTGTGTGTCATGTGCTGATTGGGTGCGCGGACCTTTGACCACAGGTGCTTTGACCATAGGGGGTTTGACCATAGGGGGTTTGACCACATGTGTTTTCTCAGCAGAGGGTCTTTGATCACAGGTGGTCTATCAACTGGTGTTTGATCACAAGCGCTGTGTCTGGCTTTGATCATAGGTGTGATACAATTAACACGATTTTATACATGTTTCCTGGGAGTACGTTAATAGAAATTAACATGTATTTAAAAAAAAAGGCAAGAACTATATTTTAGTCTCCACATAAAGGCTGGTGCTAGGCCTCATAGATTTATTTTAAATATAAATGAAACACAAATAATGCGACATATAACAAGTTTCACAAATAAATAATAGATGTACTTGAAACTACATAGCATATATAAAGGATAAAAGGATAAAAAATGATACAAAACTTGCCAACAATATAGTCAAAGATGTAATACATAAAATGGTTAACTAAATGACAGATGTGCTATAGCACGCAAATATGTCAGTAGATCTGTTTGACTATATGTCTGGACAGCACGTTGTACTTTTTCGTGCAGCATCTTGTATCGCTTCTCAGCTGGGTAGCTTGCCCCTGCGACACCTTGCGAGAAAGTTGTCTTTTGCCGTGTGCAGTCCATCTGCAGACCTTCAAGGAAACGCCACATTGTTGGGTGACTACATTGGAGGAGAGACTGAAGACTGTAATGCCATCCTTCATAAATGTTATTTGTTCGTACTACACCATCGCCAATCGTGTGCATTTGCTTCCAAGTTTCAACTGAAAACAAAGCAAGCTTGTACTTTTCGCCACGACCACCGATGCGACGACCTCGGACACAGCGCTTGTGATCAAACACCAGTTGATAGACCACCTGTGATCAAAAACCCTCTGCTGAGAAAACACCTGTGGTCAAACCCCCTATGGTCAAACCCCCTATGATCAAACCCCCTATGGTCAAAGCCCCGCTGTGGTCAAACCCCCTATGGTCAAAGCCCCTATGGTCAAAGCTCCGCTGTGGTTAAACCCCCTATTGTCAAACCCCCTATTGTCAAACCCCCTATTGTCAAACCCCCTATGGTCAAAGCACCTGTGGTCAAAGGTCCTAGGACCGCAGATTGCACAGTAAAGAGTATGGAATTTAGTAAAACCTTCCAATACACACCTTGCCACATTTGTACAAAACTTACGATTTACAAAGTTATCATTGTTAAGCAGCAAATCAGCTGACGGTCTATCTTCTGGGTTGAGTTTTAACGCTTTCTGAAGAAATTCACTGAGATCGCTTGACGAAACAATATATTTTCCTAATGTAGAGTTAATCCCTCTAGCAATTTGAATTATAACTTGAGGAGAGTTTTGGATAGCTCTGTATGGAGAATGTCTTGTCATCATCTCGATCACCGTGCAGCCAACACTTCTTGAAAGTTAATTAAAATATTAGATTACAAGTTGTGTATAAAAACAAATGTAGAGCATAGATTTCTATAAATGTTAACCTATATAAAGCAACATAATGGTCACTAGTTTTCAAAGGTTGTACTAATGCACTATATCTACGAGTCAGAGGCGTAGCGAGGGGGAGGCGGGGGGTACATATGTCCCCGGGCGCCGAACTTAGGGGCGCCAAAATGGGTTGGAGAAAAACAAATTAACATATTATTTAGCTGCATTTGCATTATAAATATAAAAAATATATGGAGGTGGGGGTGTGCAAATCGAAAGTTTAAAAAAAGGGGGGGGGGGTGCAAATTGAAAATTGAAAGTTTATTTCCGAGGTGGGCGCCAAATTGAAAGTTTGTCCCCGGGCGCCGTTTGAGCATAACTGTATAATACAACAGCTATTTCACAAAATCAATGGGGAATAAATTTATAATAATTTAGCAGCTGGAAGTTTGGAAAACTCTGTCTATATCTTTAAAAGAAAAGTGGAACATTATATTATATGGGTAGTTGCAGGTAAGTTGCAGGAAAATTGTTCTTGACAAAGTTTGTTCTCGTAACTTTCAATTTAACGAGAAAATTAGAGTTATCTCAAGAATTGAGTTTAAGTTGACCGAAAAATAACAAAGAGTGACAGCGGTCTTATATAAACTACTAGGCATGCTGCCCAGCTTCGCTTAGGCTTTAGAAAACATTGAGAATTTGAATGCTTAAATAATATCGCCCGAGGGTCGGTCTACGACCTCAGAAGAGGTTCCTACGTGGACATTTTATTTTTTCGATTTATCTAATATATAAAGCTCAATTCTGTATGTTTGTGAAATATTTGTTAGTAAAATGTTTGTCGTAGATACTTCGAATGATTTAAGTGTTAGATTATTATAGTGTTCATGGTCTAAATTTATGAGTTAAAAAATTACTATTAAAATTCTTTAAAAACAATTTTCATTTTATATACTTAGAATAATAATTTTCAATTATGAACATTACATTAAAATTTTTACAAAAAGTGTATCAACGTTTATAAAATTTCTAAAATTGTGTCTGAAATGTATTGATTACACAGTTACTTCCCTTTAAAAAACCATTAAATCGGGGGAAGAAAGAATTTACTTTTTATTACTTTGTTTTGGTGTTACATAATTAGCGGGGATTGATTAAGTGCAATATCGTTGGTATTTTTTATACTGCATTTTATTTATTCTATACACTGAACATACTGTTCACTAATATTTTTTTAAAATCAATAACATTTAATAAGCCAGGTCCGACAAATCCTATATGTTTATTTCTTTCCATTTACGGATAAGCTTGGAGTATTATAACTTTGTTCACTAAATTGAAACAGGCGCGTCCGCCGGCACCCATGCACGGTTCGATTTGGCACCCTGTGCTATCATGTGAGCGCTATGCTGCATAATTTTGTTTTAAACAGTGCGATAGACTATAGATAAGAAAGGTTACTATAGTCTTTAAGTTAATCAAATCCGGGCGTCCTCCGGCACCCCAACAGGGTGCTATTTGGCGCCCCGGGCCTTCCCGTGTACGCTATGGTACATACGTTCGCGTAAGTGAGTTCAAAAGACTATGAATAAGTTGGGTACTATAGTCGTTTACTAATTTGAATCAGGCGGTTACGCCGCACGTCGTCATGGTGCGATTTGGCGCCCCGGGCTAGACTGTGGACACTTTGAGTTTATCTTTGCGTTTGTGTTTTCTCTGTGTTTGAGTTTGGGTTTGCGTTTGTGGTTGTGTTTGCGTTTGGATTTGGGTTTGGGTTTGGGTTTGGGTTTGTTTTCGTTTGCTTTTTTTTCTTTGTGTTTGTGTTTTCGATTGCTTTTTTTTCTTTGCGTTTGTGTTTTCTTTGTGTTTGTGATTGTGCTTGCGTTTGCTTTTGTGTTTTCGTTTGTGTTTGTATTTGCGTTTGTGTTATTTTTGCGTTGTTTTTTTTGCGTGTGTTTTGGTTTTGGTTTTGTTTGGTTGTGGTTGGGTTTGTGTTTGCGTTTGGATTTGTTTTCGTTTGCTTTTTTGTTTGCATTAGTGTTTGTGTTTTCTTTGTGTTTGTGGTTGGGCTTGTCTTTGCGTTTCTTTTTGTGTTTGCGTTTGTGTTTGTTTTGTGTTAGTGTTATGTTTGCGTTTTTTTTGTGTGTTTTGGTTGGTTGTGGTTAGGGTGGGCAATGCCGGATAAAGGCTGATTACTAAACACACAAGTTATGGTCCTTTACAGATATGTTTTTTAGATATGCCAGTGCAGGGCCTGGCCGGGACGGCTAGTAGCTCATATAAGGCGCCGGTCAGTCGAGGTCAGTTTTGACCCCCTCATCGTAGACTTTTCGGCCAACCGGCCCCCGTGTTCTGTCGCCCCAAGGCAAGATCCTGCCAAATTTGAAGCGCCCTCGGCGCCGGGAAGTGCCCTATCGGGCACCCGACAACTTAGCTCGACTGACCGGCGCCTTATATGGGCGAATTAATTATGCATTCAAATTCTCAATGTTTTCGAAAGCCTAAGCGAAGCTGGGCAGCATGCCTAGTTCTAATATAACACTAAGGTGAATGCAACTTGGGATATAGACATGATTCTTAATCATTTCAATAGAATCTCGTAAAAAAAGAATTGCGCATTAAGTGAACAGGAAACAATGCGAGTGTAATAGTGCGGAATATTAGTACTTCATACATTTTAGAAATCGGAAATAGCCTAAAGTATTACTTCCGGTCCAAGAAATTACTAAACTTTTGACAGAAACTTTTGATATTTTACTTAAAGCAGAAATTTTATTTATGTCTCAAAAACACATCTCAATGTATAGGCTTTGATAAGCCGTAAGTAGAATAAGTTCTAGTTCCAATTACTGAAAAATGCTGCTGTAAAAGTGATATAGAACTACACAATTTATGTAATACTAAATTATGAATTGTCCTTAACATAGTTCTAACTGTCTTCAAATTATCGTGTTCATAGAAACACACAGAGGGAGACATACGGACGAAATTGCAAAACTATTTTTTTTCCGACTCAGTTAAGTATAAAACGTCGAGATTTGTAAAAATCTCAATGTCGATACTTCATCTATGAAAAATATACAAGAGAGTTAAAATTAAATGGGTGTTCGAATTATGTATGATATTTTCAGCTTCTGGGTCTCAACAATCAATCCCTATATTGCCTTTAAGCTATTGGACAATTTACGTATTTTTTCGAAACATATGTATAGAAAAAGCCAACGTCTTTATGGACTTATTTTAGGTTGTATATTTATTTCTGAATCACTATCTTTAATCTTGCTGTGTTCCGCTATGATAAGTAACCGCAAAGCCTACATCGAGCTAAACTGATATATTTGAAAGACATTTAATAATATACATATTTAAAACAATACTATTGTATTTCACATCACGATGTATAATTTTGTTTTCTTGTAAAAAAGCAAGCCCTTGTAAGATTTGTTTTGTGAAGCGCATTGTCGCTTCGTCTTCAAGACCATTCTTGCTTTCCGAATATTTTCTTAACGAGCCCTTAAACACAGGCGATACTGTTTAATATTTTATAACTTCTATATTTTTTTTTTTATTGTTAACTACATTTTTAAAATGAGTCTTTGTTTCAGAATGGAAGAACGAAAATACTTTAATATTTCATTATAACTTGATTTAAAATATAAACAGTATTGTCCGTAAAATAGCAATGTAATTTACACGATAAGATCTAAAATTATACATTTCCTAAATTAATACATATTAAATTATCTATTATTGATACACTATTTGCCAAAAAAGATTTAAAATTATAGAGCTCAAATATAACTTACCTATGTATAAAGAAAATTGGATGCTACAATTAATATATGTTAGTATATGTCGAGTGACTATTACTAGTATAAAAACGTATGCGCATTTAAATTAAGAAATATATTACTTGCCTTGAAAAGATCGCTTCACAAATATGTTGCAAATTTTGATTATTTCACTTAACAGCGCTAATGACTGCTTTAAATTAGAAAGTATTAAGCTATAACTAAATTTGGTTTATATCTTTTGTAAAATGTTTACGTGCCATATTTCTGAATAAAATAGACGTTAACATCTACTATAGTCTATACATCTAAACTATGTTTTAAAAAACGTGGGTGGTGGGGGGGGGTGGAGATAAGCTGTAGTGTGTGGTAATTTGCTAGCGGCCACTGTGAGTTTTATAGATATAGGTCATTTGTTCATCCATGTCGTATCATGTTTAAGAACTAAATATATGTTAAATCAGTCACACACAACTACAATTTGAAGTATATAAAATTTTATCATTTTCATTTATCCCAAAACAATTAACATCGACTTGCCACATTTAGTAGCGCCAATTTACGAAGAGCCTGGTACGTCGGACTCCCAAGTCCCCTGCATAATAGCGTGGGGGAGGAGAGGTGCAAGACTGCCGGGAACCAAGAAGGGTTTTCTCTCGACCCTAACCAGATATCTTGACTTTAAGCCACTAGTCGGACCAAGCCCGTGATCCCCCTAATGGGTGCGGAATGGCTAGCGGTAGCCAACAGCAGCTAGAGGATTTTGATCTGGCATAGTAGAACTACTGTATGCGCTAAGTTCAAAGAATGGCCGAACGCCCCCCACGATCAAGCTGGGTACCAGGCGGTAGGACGACGTCCCGCGTCTGGTGGGTGGAGAAGGAAAGCCCGGTGAGAGCCGACGGAAGTAGCGACCGATGTGTGGGAAACTCTTGTGGTCGGAGTTTGCTATACTGAGGCCTGCCTGGCTAATGAAAGTCAACCTTCTGAGCTGGTTTCCGTATAAGGAAGGAAGGAAGTAGCGCCAATAAACGGAACAATTCGTTTGTTGTAACCAATATTGTTTTCAATATTTCCGTCTCAAGTTCAAAGCTTTCCTTTTAATTTAAAAAAAAAACATAAATATAATAATGTTTTGTTCAGTTTTATATTTTAATTTTTAAATAAATTATATGACCGCATGTTATCCATTCTTTGTACACTTTAAAGTTACATTTCGCAACTGCTGTCTTACGTGGCAGGTGAATTAAAGTTCATCTTTTCTGTGACCTCAGCATATGAAGGGATAGTGTGGTCAGTAATATGCCCACACGCCTTTACTTTCCCTAATGTGAGTCATGCACACATCAGAGTTGTGTGTACTCAGGGGCGTGCTACGACTCTAGGCAGATACTATAACTGGAGACTTTTGGGTTATCAGACGAACGCTCTTTCAATTGATCACGTCGATAGTAACTATCAAATAATTTAGTAATAGAAGTTCTCTAAAACAAACGGTTTATGTTTTAATTATTGAAATTAATTCTTTTAGGTTGAATTTCTTCAGCGCTGTAGAAAAAACATATTTTTCAATGCGTGTAAGTATTTATAAAAGTGGTGTTGACTCACCACAGTTTTTTTTATGTTCGTTGTTTTCGAAGCCAAGTATTTCTTTCACAACGTATTTTGGTTCACTGTTGTCTTTCACAGACTTTAACAAATAAATTGTGCCAAAACCTCCACTGCCAATTGGGTCACACTTCACCCAATCTTACAAAAATATCGATTATAAAACACAATTGTAATATAATATTGTACATAGTACACATAAATATTCATGTTTAACAAAAATGTTATTACAATACCTTCACCAAATACCCCAATAGTTTTCTGTAGCGAATCATCGTTATTTTCTATTGAGATCTGTAAATCAATTAGAATATTGTTACTGTGACAATGAAGATATCGAATATTTAATATTAAAAATTTGAATATCTTCAATGCCTCACACTTGTTAATATTATTTAATATAGTGTTACTTGAAATTAATTTTAAACTCATATATCTTGAAACGTTTCATACGACAGGCGCCATTTTGTATGCGTAGGCCCCCTAAGCAGTGAATGTACATGTATTCTGCTTGTAATACAACTAACGTTAGATCTAACAATGTTTAACACCAACATTTGCTTTGACACTAGGATATATTAAGATTTAGATCAGGATATATTTTCTTAAAGCATTTATGAATATACAAAAAGAAATTGACTAACTAACCTTTTCAGCCATGTTATTATTTGAATTGATAAAGTAGGTAAATCAGTGGCAAATCAGTGGCGAAACTAGAAAAAAATGGCCACGCCGCAAAATTTTCTTTAGACCCCCATATATATTATATATATATATATATATATATATATATATATATATATATATATATATATATATATATATATATATATATATATATATAAACACAGAATACAAAAATTGGTTACTCATTTCTGGCCTGATCGGGTTTTTTTAAAAAAGGTCTTTTTTTCAATTTAAACAAATTACATCATGTTATGTGTGTGAGCTGTGTGAGTGCATATATATATATATATATATATATATATATATATATATATATATATATATATATATATATATATATATATATATATATATATATATATATATATATATATATATATATTGGCTTTCACAGTGGTTTAAAAAGAAAGGGAAAAAATATACAAGAGCGTGGGTATTGTGTCTATAGAATAAGGATAATCAAACCGCAGCTATGGTAGTCGTTTACAAAACAAACATCAAATCAAAAAATGCAAGAATATTAGTTGTTTTTTTAACTATAATAAAAACTATTAGGGGCGGCCATGGGCCCCCTAAATGGCGTGCCCCCCCCCCCCCGCATTGCGGGGTCTGGCGGCACTGTAGTTCCTCCCCTGAGGTAAATACACATCACAAGTCAAATCGCTTCATGCAGACCTATTTGCTTGTTGCCAATACACAATGTGTTCAGAATGCAGGTGTCTACAAGGCATTGACATAGTTAACGCGTGACGAGTTAGGGGATTTCAAAAAGCTCGTTTGAAATTTATTTGTATAAAGATAATAAACCGGGAGTGATCTCCCCAACACTTTCTCGAATATTCGTCTATAACACTACCGGGGGATGGAGACTCTGGGTAAATAGACAATTTTTTAAAACCATTTTTAATTATTTAAACTTTTTAAAATAGAATAGAATCACGTAGAAATAAGAATTGCACATTATATGAACGCCAAACAAAATGTGCTTAATAGTGCAGGATTTTATTCGTACTTTATAAATTAACATGAGTTTTTTGAGAAAACGGAAATAGCGTAAATTACCACTTTAGATCAACGGAAATTACTCAAAATTTGACAGAAGGCGGAGTTATATCTTTTACTAATACGTGAAATTTTATTTATCTATATGAAATAGCACTCAAGTTCTAGGCTTTTGAAAAATTGAAAGTAGAAAAAGTTCCACTTCCGTTTATCGAAAATCCCTGAAAAGTTTATACGGATATAAAAATTTGATAAAATACTTATGTATGAAATTTCACCAACCTAGCTGTAATGGCACTCATAAGGACAAGATTGCAAATTATGTTTTTTCCGACTCTGGGAGGTGAAAAACGTCGATTTGCAAAATCTCAATTTTTTTACTTTCTCGTATATACATAGTATAGAGAAAGTATTGTAAAGCCGGAAGAGTATACAAAATAATATGACGTCATTGATTCTAGAATAAACAGAAAATTAAAAAGTTATTGCCCAAAAAAAAAACACAAATATTGACGTCCTCGATACTGGATAATAAAGACACTAACATCACGGCCGCATGACTCTCTAATTGCGACTTTTGTCATGTTTCAGTATAGGTGCAAGATTTTGGAGTATGACTCCTGCTGTATTCCGTATGAATGTGCAGTAGCTATTAGCAGATCAATGTTAAATCCGGTTAAAATACCTATTATAAATAGAAATTCATTTTCAATTACACAAAAAATTACACTTTTTGTTTCCAATTTAAAAAAAATAACCTTTCGGAGAAATATTGCACAAACTACATAATATTTTGGCATAATGCTCATTTAAAAACAAGATTGAATGACACAGTCATCTTTTTTATCTGACAATCTGACATTTCATTTCACGACCACAGCGGAAACAATTGTAATGTTATCCTTCTACTCGTATAGGATAAAACACTTATATTATTGTAAATGATAGTTAATGATGAAAAAAATGTGTCCATGTGGTGTTTTCTTTTTTCTTTAATTTTATGATTGAGTACAAATACCATTTTTTATTTTAAAAAAAAAATATATTTTCAGACACAATTGTCACATTACTTAAGTGTCCCTATTAAAAACATTATAAACAATTGTGCTTCTAATAACACACTAGCGTACCCGTCCCCGCGAGTTGTCGCGGGGATAAAAGAAAGTCTGGCGAAATAAATAAGAAGGGTTTCATCAATGCATTACCAATCCTGTGTTCTTTGACAATTGGATAAAAAATATCGGGATACGGGTTTACCTACACTAACGCATGAAAACCTTGAGTGTACGTAAATAACTCACCAAAATAATGAGGTAGAACACACTTCAGTAACCAACCATGTACCAGGGACGTAGAGGGGCACTCTGAGGAGCCCCCCAATTACACTAACGCAGAGGCGCCGCGTACAGCCCCTGGCTCCTTAAAACTAACATATGCGCCATAATGCTAACAGGATAACCCATTGCACCACATAGCATCCTGAAACAATGATGCAGATTGCATCATTCGCTAAAGTGACACAAATAAACAGGATTTTTCTTTAACACGTAGAAAAAAAAATATTTGACGTGTTATAATCATCAGTGTGGCTAATGAAATTGGTTAGCGTTACTAATGGTTCATTAACAGAAGCTCGAGCTCAATATCTGATTGGATTGTATAAAAGTGGATACTAATTGCATCATTTCCAAAGTGATGAAACTGTTTGGATCTTTTTACGGACGAAAGAAAACATCTTACCTACATTAATTTTTCTGATTATTAAAAAAATGTATCACAGGGTCCTTAGACGTCCATGTGAGTCTTTGAAGGCCGTAACTGAAATTTTTGTTGGCAGCCAAATCGCACCCTACTAGGGCGTCAGCGGACAGGCCTGATTAAATTTAGTGAGCGATTGTAGCGCCCCATCTTATCCGTTGTCTATCACACTGTTTAGAACAAACCTAGTCGACATAGCGCTCGCTGGAAAGACCAGGGTGTCAAATCGCATGATGCCCGTGCGAAATTAAATCCCCCCTCACATGTACTTTCTCGCGAGTATTCATTAACTCACTAAAGTTTGGTGGTACTTAAATAAACAGTTTCTAACCGCACCCGGCTTTAAGATTTTAAATAAATCGTATATAGAGAAGAATCGCACATCCCAGGGAGCCGCTCTTGCGAATTTAAATATGATTTTTTTTACAGAAACCTTACCTGGAGTCTTCTAATCAGCCTCTAAAGTTTGATAGAGATCGGATTAACGGTGTCGAATAGCAATTATTTTATTTTTATAAACCGTTTATTTGAGAAAAAAACAAATTGCGCACTACCGGGGCGTCACCTCTGCGAATTTGAATATTTTTTTTTCGCAGAAACACCCTTACGAGCACGAGTATACACAACAACTTCACACATTTTCATGGCGCTCTGATAAAAGGTTTAGTAATGCACAGACACACAGATACACACAAATACATTGCTTTATATTTATATATATATATATATATATATATATATATATATATATATATATATATATATATATATATATATATATATTTATATATATATATATTTATATATATATATATATATATATATATATATTTAGATATTAAGATATAATATATATATAATTAACCTAGCTGCATTATATTAATCCACCTAAAAAAAGCATTAGGGGCCTAACTCTAACAGTTATTAATTCAATTGCAAATATCACGTATTTTTTAAGTCTATTTTTAAATTTTGTGTCTCCCCGTCCTCGGGCAAGGATTGATGTATACGTTATTACAATTCACACAGTCCTCAGATAATACTATGTTTATCTAGTGTCGGTTATTAATACAGCTGGATGTAGCAGGTTTAAGTCACGGTGTCATCCCCCCCCCTCCACCACGACCCTTGTCGAGACTTGTCTACTTGGCTCTTAAAAGTCTAATTAACTATAATTAATCATTTATTCAACTGGGATGATCATTGTTTTGTCTATATATTTTGTTATTTTTTGTCTTGGTGTTACCCCCTAAATGGTGTCACTCTGTGCGTTCCGCACCCCGCCCCTCCTTTCCCCTCGCTACGTTTATGTGTGTAAACTATACATCCTCGTCTAAACTGTGTAGTTGTTATAACCTACATAACGCTTGCCGTGATAGGGGATTTCCCGAAATTTTTCGAACAAAATGTATGATTCGGAGAAGTGTAATAATAATAGCAGAAACAGAGAAAACAAATCGAATTGCGTACACACTGGTTCCGTTTTAATCAGGTTGATAAAATGTTGTTTTATTTTATTTGTAGTAATTAAATATTTCAGATAGGCCTAGTTGCCTGCATACATGACTTTATACTGTTTTCAGTTAATAATCTATGTCTGTCTGTCTATCTGACTATCTGCTGTTTACAAGTCGGTCGTGCCTGTCTGACAAACATATATTTGCAATCATTGAAGTAAAAAGAGGCTAGACGTGCGTTCATAAGATTCCAACAGAGGCGTAGATATACTACGGCGGGTGGGGTGACAACCCGAACCCATACATTAAAAGGGCGCGAACGATCAACAGTTACATAACTGCTCCGTTCCTTTTTAGCCTTTACTTTGTTGACAGCTGAATAAGTTGTTATCAAAGGCGGTTTTATAAATTTAGTAGGCTATATATTAAGAAAGGACGATGTGTCTTTTTCATCAATACTGTTTTTTTAAATTTCAAATGTTTTGTGATTTAAAATATGCTTTTTAATATAAAGGCATACATTTTTTGACGACAAAATGCACACTGTAAAACATTTTTCAGTGTCGTTATTAAAAAGAGAAGAACATAGAGACAGTTCTCGAAATAAGTGCAGCAAGTAAATTACAATGTATCGCCCCCCTGCTTAGTGAATATGTAGCGATCAAATCCATTATCTTTTTCTTACTTGCTGAATTTGCTGATTTCCGATAAACAGATGAACTATAATTCTTCTATCCTATTTAACTGGCAGATATAACTGTTATCTTCATGTTCATACAACACACTAACTGTTTTATTTAACGAAACGTAATTTGAATTAGCAAACACGCTTTTACTTCAAAAATAATTAACATTAAACAAAAAAAAAATTCTTAAGAAAGTACATTTAATAGTGCTCACAGGAAATGGAACAGTATGTCTTCTTCTTCTTCGTTCTTAATTTTTTTAGTGTTTGGAGGGATCGAACCTTATCTGACAGAGGGTTTGAACTCGAGACTTTTTTTTTCGAATTTATCAACCATGAGCTTTTCCGACTCGACCATGCTTCCATCACAATTAAGGATAACGTGTCAACTGGTTATGCGCCATTGAGGCCATTGACTCCGATTTCAGAATATTTTATTTTTGGATTTGCTTCCATAGCCTTTGTCAAACCACGAACAAAGTACAAGGCAACAGTTGTTTGATTTTGGAGTTGTCTCTCCTAGAAGAGTGGCTGTCCCCAGCTAACGAGCCTCATCTGTCCGAGGGTTCGAACTCGAGACATTTCGGTTTAGCAACCAAGAGCTTTACCGACTCGAATTATTTAATAAACTATGTTCGTGAAAATCGCAAGCAGTAAAATTTAGAAAAAAAAACCCATTTAATTCTAATTTTTCTTATAAATATAAAGATGAAAGGGATTTTAAAAACATCGACAGTAACACATTTATGTGTACTAAAACAATAATGTATGTATGCAATCGTTATCTAAGAATACAAAATCTTCCTTGTTCTTTAATTAAATCAGTGAAAGTAATTTGCACCCGCTAGCCTCCAACACAATGAAGTATTCATGTCCATATGTGCGTTTTATTGCCCTCTGAGTCCGACCTCAAGCCTGCTTTTTCAACTTTCACCTCCATAGCGTGTCCACCCGAGAACAGTCTTCCAGATATCAGTTGATTTAATTTGTTTGTTGATACATGTTGTGATTGGGATAAAACAAAAAAACACACAAACCAAAGCTAGTTATTCGACAAGAAGAAATAGAAAATGTAGTTGAACATTTACAGTCAAATTTATGTGGTATGCATTCAGTTTGTTTTGATAGTCAGATCTAGAAAGGGTATTTGGAATAGCGTGTTTTTTATGGTGTAATCTTTGAACGTTCTAAATTACCGTAGTCGAACACAATTATCCTTACTGACTTTTCCTCTTTGATATCAAGGTTTATGTTTTTGCCAAGTAATTCAATCCATGACTTCTACCATCATGTTCAAATTAGTTTTGTTTATGATCACTTCATTTTCAGGACAAAGATATTGTAACAACAATATCCATAGAAAGCGTTGGATTGAGGTTGGTTTTCCTTTAAATTTATTTTACAATTCCCGTTTTCTTTATCTGTTTCATTTGGTGCATTTGTCTTTATTTTTCAACGATAAGTATCCGCCATTGCTCCATGAAACTTTCCTTTTATGGGTACAGTCAATAATGTGTTCTGATACACGTCACGGGTGGAACTACAGTGCCGCCAGACCCCGCAATGCGGGGGGGGGGGGCACGCCATTTAGGGGCCCATAGCCGACCATAATAAAAATTTTGTAGTTAAAAAAATAATTTTCTTGCATTTTTGACTTGACGGTAAAAGCTTTTATAAATAACAAACAGATCTACTACAGTAATTATGACATACAGTAGCTAACACATGCTGTTGCGTAAAAATACATATGCCTGAGCTGTAGGGTGAAAGATAGGCAAACGTTCAAAGCACTTCCATGATTTATTTCCCTTTTTTAAATAGTTAAATATGTGTGCTCATAAGCTCCTTTTAATATATTTTCACTAAACAAATTAACAAGCAATTACTACTCTTAATTGTTTTTTTAAACAAATACATACTAAAGAATAACATAGCATAAAAAGGAAATATATTTCAAACAAATAATATAAATACAAAAAAACATAAAAATAAATAAAACACGAGAAACCATTACACATACATAGCTTTCAGTTTTATATTCTTTTTATCGGTTAACAACTAGAGGGTAGGTAGTATTTCAGCAAACATATGGAATAAACTAGTTCTAAATTTTTAAAAATAATAATTTCAAAAAAGACTCATGCACTCACACACATAACATGATGTAATTTGTTTAAATTGAAAATAAAGACCTTTTTAAAAAAAACCGATCAGGCCAGAAATGAGTAACCAATGTTTATATTCTGTGTTTATATATATATATATATATATATATATATATATATATATATATATATATATATATATATATATATATATATATATATATATATATAGGGGAGGCAAGGAATTTTTTTTTGCGGGGTGGCCCTTTTTTTCTAGTTCCGCCACTGATACACGTACATGTATATACAAGTAAATGGTTTTTATTTTGTAAAATGTCTTTGTTTTTCATCTTTTAAAAGCTATAAAGAAATTTTAAAACATATCAAAACAATACGTTAAAAAACTCATACATTTTATACAGAGATTAACAGAATTAAGTCTTCTGAGAATAAAATAATGTGTACATTACGAATATAGTAGATAAATATGTTATCGTTACTAATTAAAATAAAATTGATTTTATCTAATAAATAGCAAATAAATACTATAGAGCTTAAGGGGCAGGCTCTGAAAAAAGGGGGAAAAATCTTTTTATCGATAAGACTTTTTTATTTACGTGTGTATCTAAGTCAAGGTATTTATAGGAGATTATTTGCGTGCATCGGGGACTCTCCTGAAAGTATCGTTACCACGGAAACTGCTTTCGCCATGGCCATGGCAACCATAATTCCAGAAGAATTCCTGATGCTTGAAATTTTTAAAGTACCCTAACTTAGATACATATGAAAAAATAAGTAAAAAAAAAAGTGTTTTTTTTTTCTTGCACCTACTCTCATAAGAGCAAAAACTTGCAATTGACGTTTATTAACTTAACTAATAAAGTTGAACTGATCTCCCCTCTACGTTAGAGTATATCTATCTTTATACATCTAAAACTTTGTCGTTTTATACATGTATTTATGTATTTATATGTATTTATATTTTGTTAGACATTTTTACATTTGTGTTGATTTTTTAAAATACATTCAAATGTAGAAACACATTTTTAATTATACAAATGGACAAACATGAATATAATTTCAAATCACCGGAAGAGAACGTAGCCTTTTAAGCTAGCTGTCTTGTTAATTTTTTTCTCTCGGATATCGACCTATCTCTTCCGCCTTGTAGGAGCGCCCCATTTAACTTCAACATTCTTGCCAATTACGTCATCAAATCTGCCGGTAATTGTGAATGTGTATTGATTTTCATTGCATAAGCTGTTGATTAAATATTCCACGTCTGTGTATGCGTTTGTTAAGTCGTTCCACAGCCACGGCAAAGAGCCGGCCACACTCTGACGCTTCAGTGCTTTGTAGAAAGGTACATCATGATCTCCAAATTTGTAGTTCAAAGTTGGACGAGCTTCACTACCGCGATGCTGATAATGGTAATTTGTATACGTATTTTCTGCTCCCCCTCCCCAACGTAGAAAACCCTGAAGATCTATAGAAAACTTTGGAATTATAGTAGCAGTGTAGTTTATAGAGGTTTTTGTAGTGTACATCAATATTGTCCAATTAGCATCGAACGTGGTTACGCTTGTTTCATAGTTAAATTTGTATGAGGCTAACCCTCCTCCTAAATCGAACGGTGTGAAAGTAACTTGGACATTGAGCTCGTGACTATTTTTCCAGGAACTGGTTGTTGTGTGTGTGACTCTACGATAACTAGTGTAAGATCGTGTTACGGACTCTGTGTCAGCTGTTGGGTGATTGTTATATACTGTTCCAGAGTCTATGCTATCCGTCGTTATGTCTTGATCTACAGCCTTTCCATATGTGATATCCTTAATCACAAAGCTCCAATCATCATACACCATGCTTAAACGTTTATCGCTCATGTAACCTTCACAACGCCCACTTTTATCGGCGACCCACTTGTCGCCATCTCTCCTAAAATCTTCTCCTACAGCTTCGGATCTACACCCTCCGCACCAAGCATAACCAAGTTTATTAGCCAATTTAGCCATGCCTGACATTGTTGTATCCATGATGCGAGATTTTACTTTATAAAGATTTTACTTCAGGTCCCGAGGCTAATTTAGAACATCGAAACTTTATGACACAAAAGATTCCATCACATGAGCTTTGATGCAATCCTGTAACATAATAAACCGTGTTACATCCATACATGTCTGTCTGATCAAAACAGCTGGAAGTGTCAATGTCGTAACGATGTTAATAGTCTGTAGGAAAATCTGCTGGCTTAACACAGCGTCCTTTCTCTATATTGTTTAGTGGATCTTTACTCTTTTCTATCTTATATAAACCATTCAAAAAGTAACCAGGTGGGCAAGCAACTAATGCATTTTCTCGACCTAAGGCGTTGGGCCAATCAACATACACCACTTGAGACTTGGTGTTGTCCCATGGTGATATCCAGCTAAAATATTCAACATCTTCCACATGCTTCAAATACGTATCATTCCAAAGTTGTTAATCACTCTTGCAGAATCCAGCGATAAAATCGTCTCTGTTGTCACACTTCGATTGCGAATGTTTTCCTTCACTTAACCACAAGAATGCTCTGTCTGTGTAAAAAACTCCTCCAACCAATACCGTGGCTAGCAGCAAGACAAATCCAGTAAAATACATTTCAAGCTCTGTGTCTGGAAATGAAACAAAGCACACTTATGATATATAATAATTTCTTTCATATCCAAGATAACAATTTTAAATATATTTTAAAGATTTAAAAACAATATTTATCAGCATCATTAAAAGTGCATCAGGCTTACCTTAGTTTTTTTTCTTGGTTCTTAGCTGTTATGTTGGAAGAATCTTCTCCAAAACAATTAAGCATTATATGTCAGTATGTTATGAGCCACATAGAATGGTTTTTAGTTTGCTTTACTTTTTTGATTGACTTCAGTCGCTAGTATCTATACAAAAATAAACAACACGGCAACAGATATATATTAATCTTTTAAAACGGGCTTGTTATTGATTTTATAAAAAATAGTAACATATTAGTTCAATGAAAGCCTATCGGTCTATTTATTCAATCTGTTAAGAACTATCTAATTCTAAATGTGTCTAGCTGTCGTTTTATCAGAATATCTGTTATTTAACACACACACAATGTTATAATACACAACGTAACAATTTCTAAGAGAAACAGGCTAACATCAGGAATTAAAATAATGCATCTATTCATGTAAATAACGTTAACCTTTTTTTTCCAGAATTTTTTCCCTGAATCAGAAACCGTGCTGCTGACAGAGTAACATCGGTAAGATCATATATTTAAATTTTATATTCTTTTAGGCAAATTAATAAACAATTTTAGTTGTAATATTAGTTGAAAACTAGCTTCACGAAAATAATGAATATCATTTTTAAACACGAAAAAAAACTTTGTATGTTAAGTAGTTTTAGTTTAGTTTCTGATTACACATCTTGTATAAATATGCAGCTATACTATGAATGTTTTGCTTATATTTAGTTCAGGTTAAAAACTGTTTTAATTTAAAGATCTTTCCAATCTGAATTTTAAGCACTAGGAGTTTTAGGAGGGGAACGGCATTTCATCATCCGGTTTTATGAGAAATGTATCAACTTTTTCTTAGAAATCTGTATTACATACAAACAGACAGATAGACAGGCAGGCAAACAGCAAGACAGACCGACAGGCAGACACACAGACACACAGACATACAGAAAGACACCAAGAAAGACAAAGAAATACGCACAGGAATACATACAGAAAGATAAAGAGAAATACACACAGAAAGACCTACAGAAAGACACACATAGTGACAGAAAAATAGACCGAGAGACAATCAGTCATAGAGCCTACAGTTAGAAAGGCTTAAAATCAGTACTTTAAAACAAACTCACCTTTCCAGACTAAGATAGTATTCGCTATGCAAGTTTGGAAACATATACACAGCGAGCTAAAGAAAACTTCACTAAACCAATCGTTTTAGAAGCGCAAAGTAAACCCACGTTAAAACAAAATGTAGCAACACCTATTTAATTTTAACATTCATGTGCCCCCTCCGTAGCAAGTCGTCATGTCTTAACACCATCCAACCTTGACGTGGTAACCTAACACACCAAACACCCAACCAACTCCAACACCAAACACCCAACCAACTCCAACACGTAACATTGCGTAGTAGGATACACATAAGTGTAATGATTGAATGCGTTGGTCTATTACTAGATATAAAAACGTGTTCTATGAATTACCAAACAATATTTACAGTCTCTCAAATGACAACCACGGTATAACAAGTTTCAGTGCGTTTTAAAACTGTTTGTGTAATAATTCATAAGGTAACACAACCGTCAAACTGAAATGACTGTTATTTATGTTATGCCTGCCTACAGGCCTACTGTCATCTTATCTTGTCCACTACGTCTATCTGCTTTCGCTGTGTCACACTCACTCTATACAAATTATATAACAAAAAACAAATATAAATATTAAATACTCTTTAACCCATACACACTGTCTTCCGTAGCTATTACTTAACGCCAAAATGTCCTCACCCAACTGTCCAAAATCTATTTTTAGTCCGTTACAGTCAACTGTACATAAACACATCTACGCCATCACACGGGTGCAGCATGTGGCAGGTCATTCAAACTCTTATACTATTGTGTGTTCATGAGATTCCTACAGAGGCGTAGCTATGCGTTGGCAAATGGGGTGACAACCCTTACATTGAAAGGGCGCCAAACGAGGCAGAAATAAGGATAAAAAGCTTATGTTTGAGCAATAAACAGTCAGAGTTATGATACCGACTGCTGATTGGCTTTACAGACTGTATTAGCTGTTACTAGATCAATTGCTTTACATCTAAATACAATCTCTTAAAGGCAGTGACTAGTAGAAAGTAACCACGACCTTTGCAGTGTGGAATGGATGTGGGGTGGGGGAGGGCGCTTTTCTCGGGCACATTGATAACTATATACGTGATGGATGAGGGGGGCGGGAGGAGCGCAAACATTGACACTTATTCCGGGACACATGAATGGATTGCTACTTAACTTGATACCTGAAATAGTTAAATTTAAAAATTATTTCTTTCTTTTGACATTAATCGTAGTTTTGCAAAATACAAATAGATCTACTACAATAATTAACTCACTCTGTTCAGTAGAAAAGTTCAAAGACACAAAGCGATTTCTAATGTGAGAGACAGGCAAACGTTCATACTACATTCAATATGTATTTTCTTTATATAGTATAATATTGGATGTACATCGAGTTCCTTTAAACGGTAATGAAGGGGGCGTTTTACAGGCACCGAATAAAATTGGTTATAACAGACATCGAAATAGTCGAGTGTGGTCCGTTAGCTGTAAAGTTTAGTTGTTATTTTTTAATGTCTTACATGGATTTTCACCCCCCCCCCCCCCACCCAGAACCTTATTACAAAGCTCGGCGCAATCTCAGTGCTTCTTCGCAAGTTCACGTGATTTTTCTGACGACTAAGAGTATTTCTTTTTGTTTGCCTTGAAGGAACTAACCAAATTCAGAAATCAGATAATATTTCCGAGCTGAGCGAACCATAGCACCGTTACTAGTAATGTATATCTGCCAATAAAAATTGTAGGTGTAATTGTATACAATCTAAGTTTTCTGCTTGGTTCATCTGATCCGGGTAGAACATACATTTGGTTATACACGGCATTACGATTTACACACAACAGAATTGTTAAACATGAATTTAAGTTTTGTGTGTGAATTCTGCATTCTATATTTTAGTGTTGTTTGTGGTAAAGATCAGGTCTAAATGTGGTGACGTGTTTGTTATTAGTAATAAACTCATACTAAAAAGCATGTTTTCGGTAATTATTTACAAAACATTACACATCTGTTAAAAACAGGTCATACAGAAAATCAAAATACGTGGAAAAAATAAACAGCCCATAAAAACATTGAATAAAAAAACAAAACCTTTTTTATGTCAAATAAACAATATAAATAAATATAAAAGAGTAAATGACAAATAATTAAGCAGTTGAACACTTAAAATAATCAACACTTTAACGTGTAGAAATCAACACTATCTACCAAAATATTAATTTTAATTTCTATTAATTTGTAGTAACACGTGGAAATATGTATAGTGATTTAAATCTAAATCCAAGAGTAAAATGTATGTAATATATATATATATATATATATATATATATATATATATATATATATATATATATATATAATTTCTGTATGTATATCTATATATCTATATATCTATCTATATATATCTATATATATATATATATATATATATATATATATATATATATATATATATATATATATATATATATTGACATTGTTTTAATAAGTAACTAATAGTAAAGCAATTTTAAAATATTATGCAGAGTTTCTTCCCGGCATCTTTTCGAGGGGTGGGGTGTGTGGGGGGGGGGGGGGGGGGGGTGGGGCTCCACCCGGAAGAAAATCTCCCGCCCCCCGAACGAAATGACATTTATATAGAACATATATACTTTTAACAGTGTCCGCCCCCCCCCCCCCCCGAAAATAAGTCTACCCCCCACCCGAAAATTTCTGGAAGAAAGAAGTCTGGAAGAAACACTGATATTATTTGTTACATTTTATAAACATGAAAACAAATGAATTAGTTCATGTGCAAAAATTAAGAAACACAAATTATCAAATTGTTGAATTAAGGAAGGATTAAAACTGCGATAGCGATGAATTTAATTTTTTTTTGAAGGTGTATTTAAAGTCCTAGAGCTATAAGGGTAGGGAGTGATGAGAAGTTGGACAATAGACAAGGGAAACATTGTATTATTTCAGTAATTTTGGACCAAAATTTGTATGTATCTACATAAAACATATTACTATATGTGAAACTTTATTCTATCCCGCGCGAGCAATTTATTAGTTTGATATTTACAGAGAATTGCCTAAAAAAATCTTTTTGTATCTTTTCAATACTTTGGACGGGATCGACCTTTCTTTATTTATTACTACATTATTTTAGATTAACTTCTTTATTTATTT